TTATTGCATCAAAGGTTGCTGACCAATGTCATGAAGCTGCCACAATCTTTCTTTGACACATTGCCTCTTGGGCGAATCCTTAATCGATTTTCCAAAGACGTAGATGGCTTGGACACCCTTTTACCTTTGATGCTGATTGACTGTGTTTGGTGTTTTCTTGATGTAAGTTGGTCTTTCTCGAAGCTAATGATCATTCCCATATTTTTACAAAACAATGAAACTAGATCATCTCGCGTAATTCTTTAGCAGACTTTCCTTTTTATTCTTTTTTCTTTTTTTCTTTTTTTAGTTGGCATTGTAGAGGGAGGAATGTGGTTTACTCATTTTCCAGTCCCCACCCTATCATGGTTGTAATATTTTGTCTCAATTTGACAGCAGGTTGCTAACAAAGTTCCTAGCCAAGTTGACAGTGTTTTATTAGCTCTGAAGAAAGTAGTTTAATTTATTTGTTAACTTTCAAACTTTCAGATGTACAAATTTACCATAAAAAACAGATATACTGTATTTACTGTTTCCATCAAACTTTGGACCTATTGTCCATGCTTCAGCCTTTTTTCAGGGCATGAATAATATCAGTTGCAGGCAATTTATACACCATATTGAAAAAAACACATTTTGTGTTTTATCCTGTCCAATACTGTAGATCTCCTTTTTTGACATTGCTTTCAATAACTAGGTGAATATTTTCTTTTACCAGAGGTATAGGTTTATAGTATGGTTTTATAATTAGGCACTTGTTACATTTTAAGTTTTTGGCCTTGCTGTTTCTCTTGTCTCCCCAACTGCTTTATTGGTACAGTTGTAGATGGCACACACACATGACAGTTTTTAGTTTAACAAATTTATTGGCAGAGCTTGTAGTACAGTTTGCCTATTCTGAGTAATTCAGTCAGGTCTTGACACTGAGGGTGGTATCACCTCTCGCTGCTTGCAGGACAGAGGTTCATACACAAAGAAATACATCATATTCATTAACAGCTATAAATGTATAGAGGTCAGATTCATATGGGTAATGCCACTGTTCACTGCCATGCAGGACAGAGGTTCGTACACAAAGAAGGAAATACATCATATTCATTAGCAGTATATATAGGTCAGTGGATCACATACATTGGAGTCATATTCTAATTGAAGACTAATCTGTGTGGGCTAGCAAATTTGGGATAAACAGCAAGAATGTCCTCAAGCACACCTGATTCAATGAAGTAATTACATAGTTCAAGATACAATAAGTCAGGTGGCCTGAAGTCTTTGACAGTGTCACATTCAATAATATAGTGTTAAAGTGTATGCTTTAAAGGTTTATCACAAAGTTTACATGCTGAGTGTTCCGGTATGGGTACAGCGTTACTAACTTGCCAGATGTGTCTGTATCCTAGTCTAATTCTGGCCACGACTACATCACATTGTCTGGTTCTGTCCTTATGCTGGCCATACCGGTACCTCTTGTCACAAAATTTGTCATATTTACTAATGCTGCAACTGTCAGGTCTCTCTGCATTTCTCACTTCTTGTAGATCAGAGTTCATGATTCTGACTTGAATGTTTTTAATTACAGCATTGGACAGGCCAAGGTCACGGTCAACATTTTCTTTCTTACATGCCTCATTGGCCAGTCTATCAGCACGGTCATGATACCTGATTCCGACATGGGACAGAATCCACACAAATTCGGTACGAAAGTTGTTCTCATTGGCAGTTATCACATTCCTTTTAATATCACATACAACTTTAGACATAGAGCCTGACGGGCTGTTCATTGATTTCAAAGCACTTTGAGAGTCACAGAATATTACCCCACCTCCATTTTCTTTGAGGTAGTCTGTGGCTAAGTAGATTCCAGTTAGTTCAGTTTGACATTTTTCCATTAATACTGAAGGGCCCCAGTTATCTCTTCCTCCCATAACTATTTACATATCTCCTGACTTCAATATCAAAAACTGTGCAGGCTAAGAAGTATATGCCAAAATTTTTCATAACAATCTCTTTTATTGCTCTTTCATACACATCTATTCTGCAATCCTAACGACTACTCTTGATTAGAATTGTCATGAGATTTCAAATGTGAACTCGGTAACACCAAACAAGTAATATTTAATGCTTAAAAAAAAATCAAAAATTTTACCATCTTTTGGAATCCAGACAATTTTCCTCATTTTATCATCAGAATACTCCTCTCACATGTTCTTCCTACTGTACATCAGTTTTCTAGGAAATGCGAGTTGCCATGTTTCATAGAAGCCGCCTACAGCCAGATTTGGTGAAAAATTCTTCTTTTAATTATAGCATTCTTTTCTGTATTTGTTGATTTTAAGTTCTTTCTTTGAGTTCTTCTTTATGAAATCCATATACACTCCTACATCTTAAGGATGTCCTTCTCAGTTTTCTTTCATCCATATCATTCCTAGGACCTTCTGTCCATATCTTTCGTGAAGTACATTTCACTGTTGATTTATTGGACTATCGTATTGGGGCAGCTAAAGAGGATGACATACATAGTCTTGAGTGAGCTGAAATGAGAATGATGGCTGTTTAATATGGTGTTAAGAGACAGGAAACTGTAGTCAGAGGTAGGGAGCATCTGGCTATTGAGAGTGTAATTAGGACATGGGGCTCATTGGACCCCATGCCCTTATGGACCACAAACTTGTTAGCATCATACACTCTCGGCTCAACCTCCATTTACCCCCATTCGTTCTTTTGGGAGTAAATTACATGCTACTCATCCAAATTTTTTAGGATCTATTTCCGACAAATAACTGTGATCAACTATACATGATGAATAAAAGCTATATGCCATTTGAAATACAATAAAACACATGAAGTAATACATAATATTACAAAATAAACACTATCCTTACTTGGTTAAAGGTAGCAGATGGAATTGTGATAGATTGTTGTAGCTACTGTACTACCCCAACAAGAGTGGTGTTGGATCTTCAAATGGCACAACTCCCATGCCACATTGTGCTGTGTATGTGGTGGGTGGATATAACAGTTCCTTTGATGTGCAGGCTCAATCACAAGCCCCTTAGGAGTTGCCTCAGAAAACAGGAGATTTGGAGTTTGTGTGCAGATTGAAAGTACAGTTGCAAAACAGCAGATGTCAAAGTCATTGTTGCTAATTGGGCTCCAAATCTCCAGTTCATAATGGGTCCCAAACTTAATGGTACACTCACATATTTATAATGTTGTACTGTACCAAGATCAATTAAATTTTTCTGTGGAAGGTTCTCAAAAATTCTAGAAGAATCTTTCTTTCTTGGGAACACCCAGATGATTATAAACTCAGTAGACAGTACGATGTACTGAATGTGTGATGGAAATGTGGTTGTGGTTGTGTTTTCTTGTGGTAAGTAATCACAGAGCACTATCCACCAATAAAATAGGGTCTAGCACATTTATTTTAACCAAACGTAATTCGATTTTGTATATGTTTATGAGGATATCTGTGTGTGCTCTGACATTTTGAATGTGTGTAATATTTGTATGCAATATTAGATGTAAAAAAGGTGTAAGAATGTTTGAGAAAAACTAACAGAATTGCAGGAAATGTATGACAGAAATTATTTGTCCAAATACTGGTCACCTTGATAACATGTAAACATATACAGTAGGTTAATATCTCCTTCACACACTTTTATTTAACAAAAGTAATGCTGTAGTTCAGTCGGTGTAGATATGATTATTCCTACAATGTGTTCAGCATTTAGATTTACTAATAACCACACTAGCACATGATGATGGGATGTGTAAGACGACAGCAGTCAACAAAATTTGGGGCCTTGTAGAAAAAGTATGCTCTGCTGCACCATATAATATAATTTATTGGAGTAATTAAGGCAAAATGTGGGTGTTTATTTGTTCTTTATTTCCAGCCACCCTGCATTAGGGTGAGATAATAATATGTACATTTTTACAGTACAGAGGGTCCCTGACTTATGAATGCCCAAGTTATAAACGCCCGCTGATTCAAACAGAGTTAAACTTGAAATTTACAGAATTGTATTTACTTGATGACATATTTTTTTTTTACTTTCATTTACTTATTTTGTCATTCTATTTCTTATTTTGTCCTAAATTAAGTGATTTTAGATGTATATAAGGACTTAGGCTATGATATAGTTGGATTTTAAACATTGTTTTGTAAGTATGGTATGCATATAGCATTTGTTCCGACTTACGTCCTCAGGGACAGAACCCATTCATAATTCGGGGACTCCCTAAATATATATATATATATATATGTATGTATGTATGTATGTATGTATATATATATATATATATATATATATATATATATATATATATATATATATATATATATATATATATATATATATATATATATATATATATATATCTATATATCTATATATATATATATATATATATATATATATATATATATATATATATATATATATATATATATATATATATATATATATATATATATATATATATACATACATATATATATATATATATATATATATATATATATATATATATATATATATATATATATATATATATATATATATATATATATATATATATATATATATAGATATAGAGATATATAGATATATATATATATATACATACATATACATATACATACAGCTGCTCCTCGACTTATGATGGGGTTCGGGACCCAAATCCAGGTCGTAAGTCAACTTCTACTTTTATTAATGATTCATTTTCTTTTATACAGTACAGGGTATTCATATATTTATTGAGGAGCGTGGCGGTTGAGCAGATACAGTGCTTGTCTCCTGTTCCAGCAGTCGGTGGTTCAATCTCCGGGCGCTCCCAGTTCATCCAACTGTAAATGGGAATCTTAAGTTTACAACTTGGAAAAGTAAAAGTGGTCGAGTGCAGTACTGACCATGCTGCCTCCTTGTGTACAGAAAGCTTAGTAGACAGTGTACTGTATGGGACCCACTTTCACTTTTTTTTTCATATATTTATCAAGAATATATTTTCTTACATAGGTGCTGTCAACATTTATAGTCATCATTTACTCCACTCCAATCTTTGTTGTGGTGATGATTCCAACCATGATCATCTACTACCTTGTGCAGGTAATACTTGTTGGAATTATTTGGGTGGGGGGGCTGTAAAACTATTTTATATATAAAACAAAAATATATGTACCTGTACTGCACTGCTTAACTTCAAAGTATAGGAGATAATAACCATACAGATGTAATGATATACTTTTTTTAGTATTAGCTGAAACATTATACTGTACTATATCCATGTAATGACAAACTTTGGCATCTATGACTGGCTGAAATATCATACTCTATACAGTACATAAATATACAGTATATGTATTGACAAACTTATGAATTTATAATGCAACAGTACCATGCATACATTGAGAGGTCAGAAAATGTGATTATGACAATCTAACTCCAACATACTGTACGTGAAAGCTCATCAAGAATGTAATTGCCATACTGGAGTCACTTGAGAGTACTGTATGGTCTCATTTATTACAAGATCCAGCTATGGGTCCACTTGACTTGGTACTGTACTTTGTTGTGGTTTTCTGCACCGTACTAGCTAGATCTTACTCCTTGTCTAGTTTATCTTCATTTGAAATTAAGGAGATATTTTATCAATATTTATATGTGCATAATAAGTATTCTAAAATCAATAAGTACTCTTGTAATCAATCAATGAGTTTATCACCAAAAACTGTGCATGGGAACTTGGGATATTTGAATGAAATCTACTTTTACCACATTGAAAATAAATCAGATTTTTCCTTCAATTTGCTGTTAACTATGGTTAAAGTTACTGCTGTTGTCACCAAATAACCACCTTGAAAAAATAAGCAACTGCAGGCAGGCGTCATTGTTTTCAGACTGGTTTTGTTCATTCATGTATTGCCTTGATACTATGAATAGTTGTTGCAGGCATGATGAAAAGTTCTTTGTATGATGCAAAAAAGAAGAAGAAAAAACTAGTAACTGAAGGTTTATATCCCTTATGCCACTTACCACAATTTGTAGGACAAGATACCCCCAAACGTGAAAAGATAACAATGATGTGGCTAATGGCCAGCTTAGCACCTACCACAAAACATATACTTTATATTAATTTGGTGCACAGAATATTGTATGCTTTTGCAATTTTTTAGTCTTTTGTCTTTTTTTTTTTTCTAGGTGTTATACGTGGCTACATCCAGACAACTGAAGCGTATTGAATCTGTGTCCCGTTCTCCTATCTACTCTCATTTCCAGGAGAGCATACAAGGTATGTATGTGTCAAGGATGATTCTTTTTAATGCAAATTGAAAAGATATTTTAACTGTTTAAAGTTGCATTAGTGTTTTCATTTTGAATCACTGCTATACAAATAAACTTAAGTAGCTTACATTCATTTGGGCCATCTCAAATTATTCTTAGAATATAATCTTCCTTTATCTGATGATAAAATTATCCACTCAATCTTTGTTCTCCTAAACACATAAATGGTACTAAGATACTGTATTGTGTTTTGGAAGATGTACAGTACATTGAATTCTCTTGTAACTTGATTTACAAGAAGAGACTTTGAGTTTCTTTACACGATTTTTTAAAGGAAATGTTGCCCCTCATACTTATCCCAGAAAATGCCTGTTCATGTGAATTTCCTTGTGTTTTGTTGTTAATGTGAGTGCCGTGAGGGTACAGGCACTAACTGGCTAGTCGTATGGCTTCTAAGGACCCAAGGCATTCTTTTCTTTTGCTAAGGTATACTTACTTTCTCCCTCCTTCCAGTCCTGTTTCCTGCTGTTGTGACTGTAAATTTAAGTGATATTACCACTGTATAAGGATTAATATGGGCCTAGACTGTCCCTAATGACCCTGTATTAAGCCAATTGATCTTATTGTGTTCCAGATGATAGGAATCATCCTATAGTGATCCAAATGATTGCATGGCATTGTAGATTATCCCATTTAAGGGAGAATGCACCGTAATATCCAAGATTATATATTAATAACAGATTCGTTTAATTTGTTCGCATGTGGGGTAAAATGTGAAATGAGAGTGAGTTTTGTTGAATATGAGCAGTCTTTGCCTCACTTGAGATGAATGCTGCTGAAGGCAATACATATACAGTGGGGTATGCTATAACGAATCTAATTGGTTCTAGAACCTTGTTCGTTATAGCATTCGTTCGTTATAGGATTAATCCGTTCCAGGCCCCCAAATACAACCACTTAACACTGAAAAATATAATATAAAATTGTAAAAATTGTAAAAAAGTGCATAAATATGCATCTAAACCCCTGAAATAAAGAATATCATTAATACTTGTAATAAAAAAACAATAAATTAGTAAAAAAAAAAAAATTTTTTTTTTTTAAATAATGTTCGTTGTAGGAGTTTCGTTCGTTATAGCATTCTCAATTTTATAGGTAAAACCGTTCGTTATAGGAATATTCGTAGTAGGATCCGTTCGTTATAGCATACCCCACTGTATGTGCTATTCTGATGGCAATAACACTAGTAGCATCACCATTTAGTAATGGTGATACTGCAGTCATGGCATATCTGTGATCATACTTAGTTAATATTAGTTGAGTCAGACAGACATTAATTCAGGTAGAGTATAAACATGTTTTGGTGAAATGTACAAATGTAGGTTCTTGAGATTGAATGCTTGTACAGCAAAATGGAGGAGTCTTTTGTGCAATGGCAGGCTAGATTAAATAATGCATCACCCATGAAAGATATAGTGTACTGTATAGTATAGTATAATATAATATAATAATAATTTCTTGTAATTTACTGACAGGGGCATCAACCATCCGGGCTTTTAATAAAAAGCAAGAATTCATCTTGGAGTCTGAGAAAAAAGTTGATTACAACCAAATTTGCTATTACCCAAGTGTAATGGCTAATAGGTAAGTGTTTAGTAATAAAGGTCAAAAGGAAATAAGATGTTCATTAGAAATTTGCAGTTGAAATTTCCTGAAAATGGTAAGTCTTTAATGCAACCTGAAAGTTATCCTCCTGAAACATTTTTTTTTTCAAATGATTGTTTTCATTAAAAAAATGCTTTATGTATGTTACCAAATTTAAGATTTTAGTGGCTAGGTATGGCAGTAACAGGACTAGGATTAGGTGTGGTGATACATTAACAGGACTAAATAATGTTTCATAGGCTTTATGACATGTATTCCCATCAGTATTAGGAGAACATTAGCAGTAAAGCAACATTGTAATTAAGTGTTTATGGTTTAGTACAGGCATGGGCAACCTGCGGCCCAGACCATGTGTTTATGCTACCTGCGGAGTGATTGAGAAATTCTATTTAATGTGGCCTGCGGTTCAGATAGAAGCAGCCAGTTTATGGTGAGCAAAGCAATATTTATTAAAAGAATAATCTTCACACAAAGTTCTTACTGTTTCATAATCTAAGAGTAAGTAACTGCGAAAATTTAACCGTGAAATAAGTATATACAGTAATTAATACAAACATTTTACCTTGTGTGAGTTTACAGGCCACGTTTGGTGCGGTCTGTTTGATGGATTAGCTGCTATATGGCAGTGGGTCACTTGGGAATTAACTAAGGTTGGGTAAGTCCAAGTTGGGTCATGGACGGTGGTCACACAGGGTTTAACTAATTAGGTACTTCCAGAATAACACAAAAAAACACCTAAATCGGACCTCAGAAACCTATAGTTGGCAAGTAATTAGCATTGAAATAATGTAATTAAAATTTTGAAGCGTAATTGCGAACACTATTACCCTGCAATCGAATCGTGGATCATAGATTTGGAATCGGCGTGCTCAGGAATACCTATACAGTGGTCCCTTGTTTAAAAAACACAATTCGTTCCACAGAGTCATTCGTTAAGCGAAAATTTCGTTAACCGAATCTATTATTTCAATGGGTGTAAAGTCCTGGGAATTAGGGATAGAAATCCCTTACCAGGCTAATCAGGTTCTTAATAAAGGAAAGTCAAGGACCATGGTTTTCTGAGGAATAACAAACAACCGTTTGAGATTGACATCTCTTTACTATAAAAAATATAACACAAAACTCTGACACCACTCAACAAACATCAAATAATTACGGGAGTCAAACAATTAATACAGTCAATAGTTAATGGAGTTAATCAATTAAGGGAAGCAAACAATTAAAGGAATCAAACAATTAATGGGAGTCAGCAATTAATGGATTCAAACAATTAAATGGAGTCAACAATTGATAGAATCGAACAATAAAGGGGAGTCCGCAATTAATGGAATCAAACGACCATAGAATCAAACAATGAACAGATATTTCCTACGGCAGTGGCCCTGGGGGAAGGTTCTGGAACACGGTGATGCACACTCAGGGTAGGGAAGCGTCCATTCAACTCCACACTCGAGCGACAGCGGCCGATTGTCTTGAAATAGCAGGAGAACACCGGGTCACAGACGGAATGAGATGAATTGACGGTCGTGGTATGTGGTAGTGGTAGATGACCAGAGAATTGACAGTCGATAGGTGAAGGTCTGGGGACACAGCCCACAAGTCCAGGACCTATGATGAGATCACAGCCAGAATTTGACTAACAGCGGGGTAGCTAAATAGTGACTGTATGGCGGCTGGGTTGAATCTAACGGTGACCCAGATAGTTGCTGCCGTTCTCATCTCTGTCCAATCGCCCCAAGTGTCGTCCTCACCAGCAAACGAGAGAGTTATCAGCGGTAACGAGCAGGAAGATCGTTTCCGCCCTTACAATGGGATATTGGGTAATTGGTTCCAACTCACAGAAAAGTACTTACAAAGTATAAACAAAATGCAGTACAGTACACTTACTTTGAGGTGTGTATGTAGAATGTTGCTGGTTGATGATGATGTGCCAAAAGGGTTGTTACATAAAAGAGGAAAAGGTTGATTATAAACTGAAAATATCATAAGGTGGATGTGACGATAAACTGCTTTACTGTCCGTGCTAATACAATAATACGATTACTTATGGGTTAGGTAGGATATATAAATTTTTGTGTGTTGGCCCACAGAAACTACCTAAATCGTAATGCGGGCCATGACTGAGGAAAGTTTGCCCATGCCTGGTTTAGTAGATAATTTCCTAACTTAATGTTATTTGTCTGAAAAATGTTATTGTATTTACAGATGGCTTGCAATTCGACTCGAGACCATTGGCAACATACTGACATTCTCTGCAGCGTTATTTGCAGTCATGAGCCGGGGCACCATTAGTGGGGGAATAGTGGGGTTGTCTGTCAGCTATGCTCTTTCTGTAAGTCTTGTTTCAGCAAATGGCTATAAATTTATGAGCAGCATTTCATCCTGCTTTTTATTTTTTTTAAATATTCATGCCCACTTTGCCTCTCTCAAATGCTAAGAGAAAAACACGAGACAGAAAGTACCTCTTTGAGTAATATCCATAGGTTTCAAGTCGGCTGTGAATTACATAAACCCACGTAAAAGAATAATTAAATAAATAAAACACACAGCAACTTTTCACAATTTAATTGAGAAATATAAACTTCTGCTTCAAGATTCTGACATTGCCTACAGTAAATGGCTGAGGACATCACAGTTATAAATATTATTGTGGAATCGGTAACTTAAATAATGGTCTGTACATGTTTACTATCAACTCCATACTTTATCAGCTGTGAGAAAAAGTACTCTCCTCAGTGACACTTAATGGTTTCAAGTCTGACAACAGAGACATTGTCCCCAAGCAAAAAAAAAAAAAAATAATTTAATACACAACCACTATCCAGTACATGTACTGTATATACTTTAAATTATAAGCTGAAGCCAAATTAGCATGAAATATTTGCAAGTTTTATCTCAGTTCTTTGTTTTGCTTTACTTCTTAATCTCTTCATTACAAATTACTGAATCCATACATATACTTTAAAAATTTTGGTTAAAATTAATCTCCTCATATTATTTTAACTCCTCAAAAAGAAATATTGTTCTATTTTCAAGCTCCTCCTCTTCTGTGTTTGATGTAACAGCAATGTATCCTTGGTTTAGGTGACACAAACACTGAATTGGCTGGTTCGTATGTCATCTGATGTGGAGACCAACATAGTAGCTGTAGAACGCATTAAAGAATACACTGAGGCTCAACAGGAAGCACCATGGGAAATGCCCATCAATCAGCCTAACCAGGTATGAAATTTAAAATATTAAAAATGGTAAACTATTGTTTAGATATTTTAACATAATCTTTTGTATTCAATTTGAAGTCAACTCAAGCTAATCAGATATGACAATGAAACACTTTTAGACCTGAATAATGACCAGTGTTTTCTGATAAATCTGTTCATTTTACAGCTTTAGACCTAAGTGTGGCATTAGAAGTAAACAGAGCATGCCAAACCAATACACCAGACAATATACCAATCATGTGTACTGTATTTACAGAATTGGCCTGAAGAAGGAGTTGTAGAATTCAACAAATACTCTACCAGATATCGTGAGGGGCTTGATTTAGTAGTGAGAGACATAGATTGTAAGATTACGAAAGGAGAGAAGGTCAGAAGTTACAGTATTTCTATATATTGTGTTTTTTTATACTTAATGTTAGTGATAAAGTGTACTCAGATTATGAAGTAAATGGCAATATAAGTTGTATGAAAGTAATTTTTTCTCTATAGTTTTAAATATAAAGGTAATTGATTATTTCAGGTTGGAATTGTTGGAAGAACTGGTGCTGGTAAATCATCGTTGACACTAGCATTGTTCCGGATCATAGAATCGGCTGGAGGGAGCATCATCATCGATAATGTCAACATATCTAAGATTGGCCTTCATGATTTGCGTTCACGTCTGACTATAATTCCACAAGTAGGTCCACCTGTCCCTACACGGTATACAGTACCTTGGCACATTATGCACTGGGATGACACCTGTAGAACTTCTTCCACACACACATGACCTTCAGATTATTTTATCAAGACCCCTTTTCACCCTTACCTTATCACTGTATCTCCCTGTTTCATCACACTTTTTGTTATATGTCAAGAAATAGACTACGGGTATTCTTAATTGCTTGTATTATTTGGTTTTCTTATGTTTTAAATATTTTCATGTCAATAAATCTTTAATTACTGTACTTGATAGTCCAGTGAACAAAATGATTTCATGTCCCATTCACAAGTATTGTATGTATATTATTGGCTATGTGTACCAGTCAACTTTTGAAGAAACTCATTGTCACATTTCATTTACATTAAATGGTATAATACTCTCCCAGAAAAAGAAAAAACTTCAATACAACATTCTTAAGTTCATCTGAGTTTATTGGGTTACATATATTTCCTACAACTTCAGTTTTACTTATGGTTCATAACTGCACAGCCTCCTTGTTTGAGTAGAAGCATAAACTTGAGCCTTTACAACACGAGTGGTACTGACTTAGTGGTGCTGCGAGACATTTGTTAGGAAATAATAATGTCCCTGGAGGCCTGAGGCACCTACTGATTATGTTTATAGTTTTCAAATCCACTTATGCATTATGGCAGAAAATTAGCATTGATATTTTACAGTTTATTTTTCCTTTATTTTCATAAGTTGTAAGATACAAAAATTTTAGTTCTGTATTTCCTTGCCATTGCACTTTTTAGCCTTTACAGATGCAGACAATAATGAGAATATTAATTTTATTTTTTTAGATTCTCCTCATTTCACCTTTTAAGTGATACAGTAAACATTAAGTGGTGCATTTATAAAAATAAATAGCTTTTAGAATGTAAACTTAAGGAAAGGTGTTGTTTCATAGGATCCTGTGTTGTTCAGTGGGACACTGCGTCTGAATCTGGACCCATTTAATAAGTATGAGGATGCCAAAGTTTGGTCAGCGCTAGAATTGTCTCACCTCAAGGAGTTTGTGTCTGGTCTGTCAAATGGTCTTCAGTTCGAAGTATCAGAAGGTGGAGAGAACCTCAGGTGAGATGTAATGTCACAGTATAAGGTCTGACAAAGTAGATGTAACCTTAGATAATTTTTAATTAAGTTTTAATACTGTGTATAATTACCCTAATTAATAAATGTCCATTCTTGAGTTGTACAATAACTTTATATTGCTACTACTGTACAGGTATATGCCCTTAATATAGTTTCAGTAGATCAATATAAAGTAAATTCCCAAATTAGGGTTAAAAATTTAAAAACATTCTATTTCATAATAATAATACGTATAATCAACAACATGAAGCTTATTTTTCTTTGTTATAAGCTTATCTACATTATGAAAGGGTAATTTTAAAAATTCTACCTAGATTAAAAATTAAATTGTCAACTCATGGAATCATCTTGCAGTAACTTTTTATGAATATTTTTTCTCAAATCCTGTTTTTATTCTCTCTTTACTTAACAATCTGTGTAACAGTTTATAAATTTTGTCAACTTATTTTGAATGAGGGTAAAAGCATCATAACGTAACAGACAGTTTTTAATTTGGATATGTATAAAAGACTGCAGTACTTGTATTGATTTGTAATAATAGTTAATTCAGACAATAGATCCACTATTCAAAAAACATACAAGCAATGTTCTTCCTTGTGATCATTACTTCACTAGAGACATGTATGAGGGATGGTTTGCCTTTGGAGCCATTTGATTATGGTACTGTAGTGGTTAGTTTTTTTATTTGTTATTTTTTTTTCAGTGTTGGTCAGAGACAGCTAGTTTGTCTGGCTCGAGCTCTCCTGCGTAAAACCCGTGTGTTAATCTTGGATGAGGCCACAGCTGCAGTTGATATGGAAACAGACAACCTCATCCAGCAAACTATAGGACGAGAGTTTGCAGACTGCACAGTCATTACCATTGCCCATAGACTTAACACCATCATGGATGCAACAAGGTAAGAAGTATGAAGTTATGCAATACATAAAATTTTCAGGTAGATGACCAAGCTGCTTGGATTCTTAGTTCATATTCTGCTGCAATAGGAGAAGGTTGCTCACTCGCTAGGTACAATTTTTGTTGTGCAGAACATAATCCGCTGGATAATGATGAAGTAAAGTGGCAAATGACTTTGCCATGAGAGAGGAGAGGAAAGAGAGAAGGAAAGAATAGAAATGGGAAGTAAAGTAGTAGGGAGTAATAGCAGAGGGGCTGTCCACATAGCTGAGTCGAGGTGATTGGTTGGGGTTGTAGCGATACACAGCAAGCGCCCACTCACTCAAGGAAAGCTGGGAGGGGGCTAAGCCAGCTAGACATTCATTTGTGTATTGTGTGTTAATTTATTATATATATAATTTTTTTTTTTTTTTTTTTTATGGGGATTAGCCCACCCGGGCACAGGTCACTGACCCACATCGGGGCCTGGGGGGCGAAAATTTAATAATAATAGTAATTCATAGTAAATAAAATTTATAATAAAAAGTAAAATAAAATAATATTAATAATAACAACACTGTAATAATGATAATAAAGAAAAGAAAAACAATAATCAATAGTGAGAAATGCTATATGTATAGTATGTTGTGTCGTCAATAGTAAGAGAAACAATTGAGATCCTGCAATTGTGTGTAAATGAGGCAGAAAGACAGATCAGCAACCTGGGACTTGTGGTTTCTTCTTCTTTTAACTGGGAGAAGATTGGATCCTCTAACTCTTAAAGTTTGCTCCAAACTCTCTGATCTTGGCTGTGTGTGTGTGTGTTCAGTGGTTCAATATTGTATAGTTCATGAAGTTCTTGTATTTTGGTGGTGTATGGGGGAAGTTCCTTTGATGCTCTACGGATAGCTTTGTTTTGTACTTCTTCAAGTTTAAGTTGACTGGTTCTGCTGATTGTACTGAGTGGTATTGGTGGGTACTCCAGGTGGGGGCGGACAAGTGCTTTGAATAAGTGTAGTTGAATGTTGGTGTCCATTTTGATGAATCTTCGTAGTTTTGTGAGTTGTAATTAGGCAAGTATTTTGCGTTGTGTTGTGTGTTTTTCTATGCCTGTTCTTGTCATTATGAGTCCCAGTATTTTGCCTTCGTTGGAGTATTTTATATGTTCGTTGTTGACTGTGATTGGTGCTGGGTTTGTTTTGGCAATGTGAATCCAAGAATACAGTGTTAAGCAGTGTTAAGACATAAAAAGTGTACTGTACATTCAGCAAGTGGGAAACACCTTCAGGTCATGAGACCCACTAATTACCCCCTACCCCGACAAATGAGAGAAGAGTTTATATACACTGGATGATCTGACATTGCATCAGATCAGGTCAATAACATGAGCCACTAATTCCCAACCCCACTTCCATCGCAAGTGTTAAGATGTAAAAAGTGATTACAGTTATGTATTACATTCAGCAGAGTGGACAATGTCTGCCTACTCTAGCATCTGCTAGTGGGTACAGTACAGGTATAATAGTAGTATACATTATTTTGTTTACAGTATTAACAGTATATTATATGTGTATGCATTACCATATACAGTATATCAGTATTTAAAAAAAAATTTTAACACTTCCTCTCTACTAACCCCAACTTTACTTTACTTCCATAATATTCTTTGTCTCTAATTCATCACTCATATATATATACTATACTGAACATACACTATTTTTTGCAGGGTTCTGGTTCTGGACAAAGGAGAAATCAAGGAATTTGACACCCCTGCTACCCTATTAAATAACAAGAATTCCATATTTTATGGGATGGCCAAAGATGCTGGTCTTGTTTGATTGTGAAGTTGTGAAATTTTTAACAAAGAGACAAACTTTTCATACATACATGACAGTACTTAACTGGGTACTTACAACACATGGTAGATCTCCACATTATTCTGAAAATTACATGCATACACTGTAAGTCCTCGTTTGACGTTGCCCCCGACAACGTTGTTTCATTATAACATCGCTACTCTTTAGATACCCATGATTCCAGCAACGTCCCGACTGATTCGTTATAACGTCGTCATCAACTACTTTGTATGGCGCATCACACACTCATCTTGGCGCGCTACGCTCTCTCGCGGAACGTCCCCAAGTGTCCTTAATAGTCTTTGTTAGGCTTCCACAGCGTACGTGTATGCATTAGTGTTTTTGCTATAAATACTGTACTGTAACCATTTGAAATGGCTTCCAAGTGCTCATCAAGTGGTAGTGATGCTAGTGTTGTGAAGAAGCAATGGAAGACCATACAGTAAGCCTTGCTACAAAAATGGAGGTTTTAAACCCACCACACACTTGCTCCACCTCTGCCCATCAGTGAGTACAATTCAAAATGATTTAGTTTATTTATCTTTTTGGATGTATAATATATGCTATTTTTTATAAAAAAATTCCATTGAATTTATGTATATGTAACATATTTTATGGGGCAAAGGGAGGCTGGGGAACATTGTTTTTTGTTAACTTTGTGTTTTTCAAGAACGTAACCATAACGTTAAGCGAGGACTTACTATGATCTCAAAGAAAAAGAGATACAGTACATGATTGCATATTGATAAATACATGTTCTTGATATCAGACATGCAGTCCCAAATTCAGGAAGGTGTGTTTTTAAATAATATATGTGATTGTGAAGTAAGAGATACCTCATCCCAAATTAACCAAGTGTTCAGTATGCATGATCCAGAATTAGAATGTGTTCAGTGTGTATGATCCTCAATTTAAATGTGTTAAGTGAGTTGAATCTGTTACCAAAGAAAGTCACCTACTTGTGTAAGAAAGGCCATGGGAAATAGAGAATGGAGGTTGTGATAATGTAATCCATGAAAAGGAGAAAGAAAGCCATAAGATAAGTAGAAAAAAGTAAAGGAAGCCATAAGTTGTCCCTCCTTCTGGATTATGATTGGTAGGTAACATGGGAGATGTAATTTAGGAATTATGTACTTGGTTAATTATGAAGGGACTCCTCAGTTGACCTGAGCTTTTGCTTGTAAGTTATTAATGGAAAATATTTATATCAATTTCCTTCATGAAAATATACAGACATGTACAATGTTGCAGAATATGTATATTGGAAGAACTTAGTACAGTACAATTATTATTGTGCAATTGTAATATTTAAGTCTCATAAATTCTCATGAACACCATGATGTATAACTAACTGCAGTTTTAATCCAATTCAGTTATGCCTTTCAGCACTTGTGATCTTACATTGCCTAAAATTTTCAATGTATCTTTTAGCATATAATTGATATTACTATGAATGACTAACCCCTGTGTGACATCTTGTGCTGAGGTGCACCAAAGTGTCAAAATAATTTGCCACACTGCCTGTAGGTACAGTGTGTGATTATATGTATGACAGGGTGTCCATAAAGTCCCATTCTAATTTCAAACTTTTATTATGGCATAAAATATTGAAATGCAGTTTTTGGCATTTGCTTAGGTGAAAAACAAAACTTGAATAGTTACTTCTTCAAATGCAAAAAAAAGCTGCATTTCAATATTTTCTTCCGTTTGCACATAATTAAAGTTTGAAATTAGAATGGGACTTTATGGACACCCTGTATTTAAGTAGTTACTGCAATATTGTTCAACCTAGGGAATCTTCTTGTAGCTAAGAAGTAAAATTAGTGTTATTACCATTCTTGTAATTACATTGAATAATGTTCTAAAAATTAATTCATATGGTTGTTTTTCTGTTTATTAAAGTCATCATATTAACTCTGAAGATTTATGTTCCACTTTTTTGTTTAGTACTTAGAGTACTGTGATGTTATATATATCTTAGAAAGTATTTGAGTTGTGGAATATAGGGAAACTGATAAGTAGACTGACAATGAGAAATGTTGCAATATGTAAGTGCATTAATGATGATGAATGCATTTGATTGAGATGGAAAAGATTATATTTAGAAGATATTTCTGTATGTTGATGTAGCATTCATCTATCACAAGGTTAAAGCATCAATGAGGAAACAAGATAATTGTAGACTGAAATTTATATATTGGACCTAAAACAGTGGGCTGATATTAGTCAACAGATGTTTAAAAGGTTGCATAGGATGTGTGGTGATAAGAACAGTAACTGAATGTTTAGGAAAGAGTATGTGGGGTGGGCAGAAAGTCTGGATACCCTCCCCAAATAAAAATTATGTACAGTAGTTAAAACAACTATCTGTGCATACTTTTTGGGAAACAATAAGAGACCATGGACGATAAATTTAGGTATATGAGGGCTGTCATTGGTCACACATTAAATTTCGGAGCATATCGACCCCTACCTGCACAGATAGTTGTTTTAGCTACTGTACATGAAAAAACAATTTTACTGCATATTAACACTTTACTTAATTTGACACACACCAACAAATGGTTCAATTAAAAATACATAATCTCTGTCTGTTCACTATCCTTTCCATGTCAGGATGATTTATTTTCATGGCTTCATGGATTATCAGTTGAACCTTTTGTTAGTCTGTGTTGATATGAAAATAAATAGGTAAATGTCAATGTTGCTGTAAAATCAATCTTTCATGTACATTATCATTATTTGAAGTGGGGGACCAGACATTATGCCCTCTCTTTATACCCTCTTTCCTCAACATTAATTTACTTATCACCACACATCATAAGTAAACCTTTAAAACATGTGTTGAATTATTGTATGATACATGATATTATGACCAAAATGTTTGAGGTCCAACTATATATAAATTTCAGTCAACAATTAGCTCTTTTCCTTGCTGTTGCTACAAATTGGGAAAATTAAAGTGAACATTTAACTTTGTGTAAATGTTTATGGATCCTTGATGGATTAATAAAAATAAATTAATTTAGAATGCTTTTCTTTTTCCCAAAATTACAAAGTTCTTTCATTAAGACACACAAAGGGGATCGACTGAACTTTCATGACCTGGGCGAGCAACTGGACTTTAGGCACCTGTGGGAACCAACTTAATTTTAGACACCCAAGGGAGCATCTGAACTTTAGGGACCTGGGGATCACTTAAACTTAAGTTACATTGAGATAAGTTGCGTTGGGTCAAGTTAGATTAGTTAACATAAGTCACATAGATGCATCATGGTGGTATACAAATTTACTTACATCTAAATAACCTGGTTAAAATGGAAATTAGGAAGTAATTATAATAAAGAAGTACTGTATTATATAAGGAAGTAATATTACAGTAGAACGTTGATTTAAAGCTATTCAATTTAAGATTATTGATTTAAAGCGACACCCACAATTATGGACAATGTTTTAATTTAAAGCGAATCTCCTATTTTGCACGAATCAATCTGGCTCATCATATTTAAAATTTTGTGCCTAATGTTTCTCTGGGCATGCTACACTGTCCTAAGGGCAAAGCTGTACTGTACACATACTCAAAATAATGTATAGTACCAAATGATTACTAAAATTTTTGTCCAGTGCAAACTATAGCATGTTTATACCAGTATTCAAATTAATTACTATCATAAGAATTCCAGTAATGTAAATTATATTCACCCCGGTCACTTCTGTGACATTTTATAAGAGAAAAACTTAAAGTCACTCTTAAGGACAGATAAATAAGCACTAGACCTTGGCATCAACTGTCAAACATATCATCTTGTGGGGTATGTGGTATTTGGTTCACACTCAGGATGGGATGGAGAAAGGAAACTCACAATGTGCTCTCTGTAAACATGTTGTATTGGATATACAATGCAGCTTGGTGCTGGTGTAACGACCACAGTCTTACACTACAGTTAGCGCCAAAATCAAATGATTCATATTACGCTCAATAGACCACAAAACATGTAACTCGGCTTTCGTTGAGTCCTCCATCTGAGGAGTCCGTTTTCTCATCACTTCAAGACACCTCAGTCCTCCGTTATCCCATTTTCTCTGACTTACTAAAACCAACCTCTCTATAAAATGAATTTGAGTGTGAGAAAGAACACCCTTGTTTTGAGTCAACTTAGATATGTCTGTTTACAGTTGGAACATTCAAGATCCATTGTGAGTGGGGTAGAACGCTTCAACTGTCCTTATCCTTAGTAAAACGTGTCAAGTAAGTGAGTGTCGAGTTTGCCAGCTAGAGCGGCGTATTTTATGTCGTCCGTGGGGGTATCCATGAGTTTCTGATCGCGCCTGAAGTTATATCATTTTGTCGCCCCGACATCAGAGAATCTGATGTTTATAGCTCAGTTAGTGTCAGTTGTCTATTTAAGAAAGTCATTAATCTCCTGAACTGTTCTGTCAACTGGTATAATCTCCAAGATCTAGCGCCTCCCCGTGAATAGCTCCTTGTTCGCCTCAGGCCTGAGCTTGCAGAATTAATGTTATCGACGTGTATATTCCACCTTTTCCTGGCAAGCTCAACCTCTGATTAGATTATATGAATAGACATAGGAAATTACCCTGATCAAGAACACTGGAGTTCATAACTAAGTATACAGTGATCCAAAATGGTAGAGAAGTTATGTTGTTGGTAAGATCGACCTTTCTGGTATGAATACGGAGGCCCAAGCTGCCCAGCGGGTGCACGTATATACCTCTACACGAGGGAGAATCACGCATTCGTGACTCTTCCTCAACGTCTCTCCAGGTATGTTAACGTGTGTTCCCCGCCGCCTATTAATTCAGTTTAACTTGGTCAATTTTGGTGAATATCAGTGTTCATGTGTTAACATAGTGAATTCTGTGCCAATTAAGTCGAGTAATATAGAGATTTAGATATCGTCTGAACCGTTGCCAGGTGTATGTTTTGTATAGTGAAGTTAGACCTTTAGGCATTCGTGACTTTTCCTCAACGATGCCGTTAATTCGACAGGATTAAACTGGGAAGTCCGTTTCCTGCAAATCAGGCGCCAACTCCCTGGGCGTGTGTCGGTCTACAACCGACCCCTAACAGCGATCTTCATTTGTTGTAGAGACCAGCGTTACCCTGGGGCACTCCTCACAGTTACATGGGCCTAAGTATTATTGTATCTTGTTTGGGGGATAACTAGCAGAAATATAGTATCCCAGGTTAAGTATTGAACCACTGAATGAGAGTTAAAAGTGCCATGTTGTTCCTTGCGAATTAACAGGAGGTATTGTATGTTGAGATAATTGTGGAGTTGTCCAGTGTGTTATGTATTCATCGGTAGTGACCATGAAATGATAATCTGAGAGTATAATGATATAACCAAGAAGTGAAGAGTTAATTTGCTACTTGGTAAGGTAAGACCTGAGGGTCCAGTGATATCTGGTGTATACCCAGTACTGAATATCATGTGGCAGAGTGACAACACCACAATTGTCTTATGAAGTAATAAGTATTTGGAGGTATTTAATGAGGTAATAAGTTCTTGAAGTGTTTGATGACTTAAGAAATAAATTGCAGTTCTGTTTTGTCTGAGTGACTCTAAGATGCATCTTATCCAATCACTGTGTTAATAAATATTGAATTAGTAATCTACGAGTATCACCACTCTATCCTTTCCCACATTGGTTCTCAGAAAATAACTAACTCACAAGCCTAGAAGCTCGCTACCTAACAGTTAACTAAGATATGTTATACAGTATTCTAGAAAAATCCTGGGTGGTGGCAGGTCTACCGGTGTAAGTATAATAAGTGTGGTAATAAGAAAGACATGGTTTCCCAGGTTAATCCATGGTTTAGAATATAACTAGAACAAAATATATGGAAGAGATTATAATATATGAAAGGAAATGAAAAGAAAGAACATTGACTCGGAAAACATAAGCCGAGAAGCATAAGAGTTACTTATATAAGAATATAAGGTATATAAGATAAAGAACATATAAGAATATATAAGAATAAGTATATATGTAAAGAATTGAAGAAGGATAACTATATAAAACAGGACACTCATTGGAAAGAATGCTACAAAGAACATATAAGTATATGAATAAATAGAATACTAACAGAAAAGAATATCTGGATGGTAAATTATTAAAAGAGAAAACTCGGCCCGTTACACTGGGAAGTGGCAGCGTGGTTACAAGCGTGGTGTAGAGAGAGCTGGTTGGTGAGGGCGCTCTGAGGACCGCCAGGCAGGAGGAGGAGGTGTTGGTTGGTGTAGGTAGAAGAAGAGAGGTCACCACGAGGTCAGGTCTTTTATAGCCTGGGTAGATAGTTGACCCCCGCTCCGTAGGCGGCGCTGGTTGACCTAGACCACGAGGCACACACTGGGGAGAACTCCACTACACCCCACAGTACTATAGGCCATCCACTAGAGGTGGCCATGCCGAGCCAAGTAGGATCCCTCCATTCTTCTTGATAAGTTTTGTCTAGTGTTATTTTGAAGCCCATTAGAGTAAACAGTACAACCCAGCTTGAGCCAATAAAAAGAACCTCCAACGCTAACAAGGTTACTAATCTGGCCCATATGGGGATCGAACCCACGACATCCGCGTTATTAGCACGGCGCTCTAACCAACTGAGCTAACAGGCCGATGTGCATGAACCTACGCTAGGAATTAAAGAGCGGCTTTGTCAGTGAGGGTCGCGTATTTTAACCTGTAATAGTACAGGGCAGTATGTGGTAGGACAGGATACTACTTAGTAGTACATGGTACCATTTGTTAGTAAATTGTACTTTGTAGTAGTACAGGATATTATGCTATGTAAAAGTACAGGGTACTATGTAGTAGTACAGGGTACTGTGTAGTAGTACAGGGTACTGTGTAGAAGTACTGGGTTCTATGTAAAAGTACAGGATACTATGTAGCAAGGATAAGAGACGTCTTGCTGTAGTAGTGATGGGTAGGTAGTTTGGGATCACCTGAAAATTAAATCCCCATCTTTTTCACCATACGACTAAACCAGACCCGTATCTACTACGGCTCTGGTTCAATCACCCTAATACTTCCTGGAGGATAGTTTAAGTTAGGCTAGGTTGGCATTAGATAAGGATAATCTGTAGTATGTGCTCCACCGCAGCCATATATAACTGAATAAGTTTTCATTACAGCGGTGAGTTTTAGAATAACTTACGCCCTGAGTATGTCTCTTGCCTCTTATTATTTAAAAGTGATGTCTGAACAGAATTATGTCATGGTAAACCATAATTGGCGTTATGTATGAGAAGTGGTTAATGTTATACTGTACCTCAATGAGTACCAGCAGTTTACCATTAATAATGTATTGTTTACCTGTCATGTTGATATATTTTGTTACGGGTATATTTACACTTGTTTCTTAAAATATATTTATTTGTGATGTAATGATTGCATTTAAATATTGTTTAACGATCATGGTTACATATGGTGTAATGGTGATATTCGGGGCTTCCAGTGTGTTCCGTCATAGTCAGCTGACATAACTTGTCCCGACCAGCTGGCAATGAACATAATTCGCTATTCCTGCAAGTTTACGTTCAACTAAAGATGCCTTTACTGATTAAAACATTTGTATTTTTTCATTTTTACATACATATAGTTTTACAGTCTTTAAACAAGGCGTAGTTTAGTAAAGATATTTCTCTTGTGTTAACTATGTACGCCGTTCGAATACATAACATTATCAACGTCTCCCTTACCCTTTTAGTCATCAGGAGTTGTATATTCCCTGTCATTTAATAAAAATTTAATATTTCTATATAATATAAATAGTGAACTAATAATACTAATTATTTTTAAGGGTATTCAGTTCTTCCATATTTTTTAGTTGACTTACTTTTTATCAAATACAGTTCATTATACACATAAGTTTTTTTTTTTGTAAGACCTTTTACTATAATAAAAACCTGAGATAACCGTTGGGTAATCTTATAATTTAATATATATCAGGATTTTTTATATATATTAAAATATTATATTGAGAAGAATGAGATAGGATAATATTGTCTGGATATTGAGGTGGTGGTGAGGGAGGTGACAGTAGCCATCATGTCGGTCAACACCTCACACGCCGGAAAGGGTGTTCTTATTTACGCAGGAGAATGGTAAGATAACATGGTGACACTGCATTTATTTGTATCTCAGGATAATATTTATGGTTTCTATAAAGTAAAGAAGTAAATTAAATAAGGAGTCAGGTGTGTAAGGCTGTGTGGTAAGGGTGGGTGTGTCTGGGTTGGAGGTGTCATCTTGAGAGAGATATATACTGTGCTTATTTATTCACTAAAACCGACATACAAGGTCACTATAATAGTTAAGTATGTACGTAGATGGTGTAGATATATAGTGAGTTGGTTGCTTGTATCCCCAGTTTATGATTTGTGTGAATAACGAGTTTACTGGTGTTTGCATGGTAAGTTATTTTAATAAACAATTTTTCTGTCAAAATTTTACGGTTTATTTATGTGGTGGGAAGTAATTCACTCTGCTGTGCTGAGGTTTTGGTCACTTAAGTCAAGGGTAATAGTTTAAGACAGTGTGTAATTGTTAGTCATTTTAGGAAAACATTTTATTGATGAAAATTTGTTTTTTATCCATTGAATACTGTATAAATTAAAGTTGGAGTAATACTTGACGTTGAGTTATCTGGCTTCAGCACCAATTTGAGGAAATTTCTACATCAAAGATAAACCTTTCTCATATCCAGAAAATGGCAAAAAGTTCACAATGTGTTTGGCTTAATATCACTCTTATTTCCAAATTCATGAGGAGACCACCAGACGTGACCTACCATACACACCACATATAGACTGTAGGAATGGTTCTTGGTATTATTATTATTTTGGTCATCCCGGGAGTCTTAGGAATATAGGTTAGGTTAGATATAGTTCCTGGGTGCTGTGGCTTGTTTAGGCAAGATCAAAATCATTCAATACACATCAAAACCATCGGAAAAATACAGGGATGACCGGAATGATAATTTTACCTGGTTCTTTTCACTGAAAGGTTTTTTTATTTTATATAGGAAGAATGAAATAGAGGTTAATACTGACGACAACCCGGACATACGACGGCCATGGTCGTATGAAATATTTTTCACATTATGTATTTGAGTCCCGACGTTTGGTTGTAATGTGACGCCGTACGATAGCTTGGGCTGATCCGTCTTGTGGTGAACAGCATTCACATAATAATAATAAAATAATAATAATAATTAACGGTTTATTGAAAGAGCTTGGCAGCCAGAAGGCTGAAAATATACAGTTACATATTTGGGGAATGGGTTTCGAATTGCAAATAATATACAAGTAACATAAGTGATACAAATAAGATATATAATAACTAGATGGGGAAAAGCTCAAACTACAGTTCATTTCAACATCGTGACAGTGCAAGGAGTAGTGTTTACTGGGAGTGAATACACTGGTTTATTACAAGTTATTGATAATTTTTACAATGGTTGGGACTGGGCTGTTCTTATAGCGATCAGTTCGTGCACGTATGGGCTGGATGCGGTTGTGGTGTCGAACAGCAATTCTCGGCTAGGGATCTCGGTGGTAGTAGGAGCCGTGTCGAGGATGGTGTAGAAGCTTCTTACCAAATTTGCAGATGAGGTCGTGGTGATGGTCAGTGAGAGTCGAAAGGGTCAGTGTGTTGAGCGCTTCTTGATATGTGGAGTAGGAAGGGGAGAGAATAATCTTGCATGCCCTCTTTTGCACTTTTTCTAGGTGTTTACGTTGTGTGGCATTTAGGGAGGAAGACCAGGTAGGGGAGGCATAGGTGAGCTTGGGAAGTATGAATGTTGTGTAAACACTGAGGAGCCAGTGCATGCCCAGTACTTGTCAACAGTGCATAACAGACATGACCGATCGCCCAAGCGGCTAATGAGCCGATCAGTGGCGAAGAAAATAAACGTAAAAGTATATCTGAAGAACGTCACACAATACCCTCATCAGTTGCCACCTACCACGGGTAATGTATTGTAAATAAGACAGATGAACCAACCAAACCTTTAATAATTGTAATATTTTAAGATAGAGCGTTAGTGTTACAGTATTAAAAGTTTATAAGGAAAGTTTGCTAGGATTATTGGTTATCATTGGGATCTCATCAACAGTTGAACCTAAACATGGAGGCAATGGTATACAGTACACACTGAATTTCCACACAAGATATGCTATAGAAAAACAAAAGGAAAGATGTAATTCCTCCAAACATTTAGTGATATAATTTTTTCTAAAGTGACTCATAATAACATGCATGGTCTTGTAGAGTCAGATTGGTTCATCATATATACAAAAACTTGATTCTAACCAAAATATTTTTAGACAGCTATTAAAAACTTAGTCATATGGGTTATGTTGGGTTGTACAGGAAAATATTGTTTTCTAACTGTAGCCTTTTTTTCAACTGTATTATGTTGAATTCTAATTTTGGAATTGTTTGATGGTGTAGCTGGAGTTAATGTACTTTGGTAAATTATGTCAATCTTTTGTAGCTGTAGAGAAGAAATTGCTTTTTACATGAATACAGATACCAGGTACAGTAGTGTACTGATACATGTTGAATAATACCACATTGGGCCACCTTAATACTGTACTGTATCTTATGGGAAGAATATGGTGAGAGGAAGACAAAAAATTAAGGGCCTAACCTAATTTCAAGAGTGAATAACCCCCGTCTTGTACTGCTCGTGTATACATGTACGTAAATAAGAAGTAAATACGCAGTTATTAATGTGTACATGTACAGTAGATGCTGAAATACTACTGTAATGCTGTATATACTGTACAGAAGGCAACAGTGAAAGCTGGACGTTCAGTGGGCTTTTTCCTGTAAGGCTACACCATCATCGGTGGAGCGTTTATTGTTTATCTGGTCAGTGATTCACACGCTTAATAACTTCTCCATCTTATCAATACACTGAAGCCTTTACGGTAATACTGGAAAAGACGGTTAGCACCAGAACTTGTTTGTATATTTCGTTCATATTTTCCAGTTATATTTGGAATGATATTAATTAGTAAATCAATACAACAGTTTTTTATTTTCATTATAATAATTTTGTTCCTTTTTCTTTATTTACGATCATAAGTCACCTGTTGTGGGTAGGGCATGAAGGATGAGGGAGATTGTAGGGTAAAAAAAAGGGGGGGGGGAAACATCAAGTCTGCATGCTGAATCCTGTCTCGCTTAAATTGTCAATACATGAGAACACCATATCAAGGATTTTACTACCTTTAATATAAGCTTGAATGCCCCCCCTTTTTTTTAGGGTTCACTATCCTGAGTTGTGTGTCTATGACCTGTGGAGATCCTATATGATTTTTTATTTCTGTGCAATAGGTTCATAAACCTACTTATTTTATAAATGATGAAGATCATATTGTTAGAATACTGTACAGTATGTTCGTATACTTATTGTTCTTCCCCAAGGAGGATGACTGAGGGTGAAGCCAAGTTGTTTTTCAATGGCGCCTTATCACGTCATTTTTGGTATCATATCACAAGTTGTCTGTCCTTGTGGAGGATGAAGACTGTCTGCAAGAGTTCATCTGTCAACATTAAATAATTGGCAAGACGTGCAAGTGTTAAAAATGAGGCAGAGAACTGACAGTGAAGAGGAACTGTTTCAGTGCAGGAACTGATCTTACTCTCATGCCCACAAAAAATGTACAATTACACCGGTTTCAGATATTTGCTTTCAATGGTACCAGATATCAAACTAAATTTTTTCTGCCTACTATGCTGGTGGGTCCACCCCATAGCTGGGCAGTTAGGTAAGGTTAGATAGGTTTCTCATTTTCATGTTCAGGATCATATCCAGAAATTTTGGTTCAATTCTATAATTTCTGGTGCTGACCGTGTTCTCCAACCTTACCACCTGGACAGTGCAGGTAGACAGTGTACCTAGATAGTGCAGGTAGACAGTGTACCTAGATAGTGCAGGTATACAAACAGTGGTAAACAGGAAGGCATTTATGAGGGTAATTGTTGCACTTGACCCAGTGAATATGACAGGGAGATAAGATAAGGATGATTGGTGTTTCCTGTGGGTGTGTGAATGATTGGGCAGTCCGGGGTGTTTAGATATGATCTTTGTCGGAACAAGATGTTATGATCAGTCTCTTCGGCACATATTTTAAAGATCCCGTGTCAACAACCAGGTATTTTTAATTCACATATACCGAGTGTGTTAGCCAGTAACGTGACATAATCTTGTACATCTTTAAGGTTCTAGGTGTATAAATTAGTTACCGGTATGTTTGTTTATTCTCACTCGCAGCATAATCTTGTTCTGCGATCACGTGACAATGGAGTTTGGTGGAGCGCTGCCACCCGAGATGAAGGGAAATAAGACCGGCCGCCTCTACTTAACGTCTCACCGAGTCATCTTCAACAACAAGGATGCAAAGGATCGCCTCCAGTCTTTTGCAGCACCGTTCTTCTCACTGAAGGAGGTAGGTAATGTTATCTTGTGTGCTTCTAGTCTTGGCCAGTGGTCATTTAAACAGTCTTTTAACTTGTACTGCTCTCACTAACACAGATATATTTTTCAGTGTTTGAATGTTTACCCATGTTTGTGTATACTGTACATGCATGTAATGTGACTATGACACACTTGAGTACCAGGAATCCAAAGTGCTTGAGACTAAGAGGCTTTTAAAAATTAAAATCTTTGAAGGTTTTATTTATATATGTATATTACCCCAGGAACTTATACATGTACTGTATTTAATAAAATTCATAATTTTTTTGTTTTGACAAAGTACTGGCTGTAATTGGTCACTGATATGGGATACACAAATGAAAGCCATTACAAATGGCAATACTGTACTGTACAGTATTGTCTACCTGTATTTGGTGCTGGGGCACCTTGAAGTAGTGACCAGAATGACTAAGAACTTGTCATGAATCAAAGATTTATTACATATACGGTTTATATATTTGTATATCAGTGCATTTTTTACCCAAATCATAATATATTTGGTGAGAGTTTGATGTCAGCCTGTAAGGTGTTTAAACAGAGATGGGAAACATGAAAATATGAACCTGTACAGTACCTGTACAATGTAGGCAGCTTACTGCATATCATAACATGAAGACTGTAGCTGTGTAAGGGAAGTTACCATAAATTAAATATTTTTTTCTATTTCTTATATAAATATTCATCAGTTGCTGTAATTACAATCATTATATGAGTGGTAGCCAATGTAAATACATATACAGTAATGGGTCTCCCACTACCTCACACACTGCCAGTCAGGCCACTAAGCACTCAGATAGCCCATGGGAAAAGAAAATACTGTACAACATATTATTCTATCTTCGTTTTACCAGTAGGGGAATATAAGCTGGGGTGTCTAATCTTAATGTGATTCATGACAAGCTTAGAATCTTGTCATGGCATCGAAGCTCACAAGTGAAAGTGCACCTTGTACCCTCCTAGTTCCTGTGTGTCAGGTTCTGTAACAATACAAGTATCAAAATTTAGGTTCAAGTTGTTGCTGGTTTGAGTTATAATTGATGTCAAAACTTGTTGGGGACAGTTCAAGTAAAAAGCACAGTATGGTATCAATGTATTGTTTGTGAAGATCAGTGTTTACTCTGTCGCTTTTTGTGGTAAATGCAGAGTGACTGAAAACAAGAGGAAAAACACACATAAATACCATTTTCCTTTTGTGGTTATTCATTCATTCTTATTACTGTTAAAGATGTGATGTGGTCCTCGTCTACCATAAGGTCCCAAATCTGGTTCATCCTTGTTGCTTGGCATGAACAAGTTCAATTAATGTAATGGTAGTGTTAAATGTGACTACTGCACAAATGTTTAAATACTAAGTGATTCTGGGTAATTTGAAGTTATAAGGTTAAACTAGAGAGAAATTTAGGGGCTTTGTAATGTTGTGGTAGGACATGTCTGTGTTGCTTTTATCCTGGCATCTTTGCATCATCGTAAGACAGGGCTTGGAAGAGTGGGAGAAAATCTTCAGATACAGTTTGTGAAGTTACATATTGTCTAATGGTAGACCCTGCTGCCATATGGCATTATGAAAATTGTGACCCCATCCCAGGTTGCTGATTTGACTTTCTGCCTCATTTACACACAATTGCAGGGTCTAATTATTTCTCTTACTTTGACAACACAACATACATATATTGTTTCTCAGATAGTTGCTTTCAATGGTACCAAATATCAAACTAAATTCTTTCTGCCTACTATGCTGGTGGGTCCACCCCATAGCTAGGCACTTAGGTAAGGTTAGATAGGTTTCTTTAGTCAGGTTCAGGTTCTGTTAGGCTCTGTGCATTCTCATTTTCATGTTCAGGATCATGATATCTCCATAAATTTTATGATTTTTTTAATTATCATCATTATTACTACAGTGTTGCCTCCCAGACCCCGATGTGGGTCATTGACCTATGCCTGGGTGTGCTAATCCCTTTGTCAGTTCTGGCTTCACTATAAACTATAGGGTTGTGGAAGTGGTGCACATCTCTGAATTCTGTGGTACAGTATAGTTACTACTGATATGTACAGATTAAGGAAGATTTGATTCATATTATATTCATCTTTATTTTGTTAAGTTTCATCTTATGCTTAAACTATCTGATAGCATTTCCATTACACCTCAATTATACAATTTTGAAAAAAAAAAGGGCAAATAAATGCACTTGTAGTTGTTCTCCTATTTCTGAAGGCATGAGGAGTGAAAGTTATATATCCATTGATCTGTTGTAGCTGTAGAACATAGTGCAGTCTCCTGGGTGTTGTGTGAATCTTTGGCCGTCTCAGAATTTATACTGTATGCTACCGATAATTCCTCCAGTGATTTTTGTTTATGGAGGAAAAAAAAAGAACTTACTGAAGGTCATGACTTAGTTGGTGGTGCTTGGTTTGTGAGAAGACAATCAAGTACACTAAAAATATATAGTAACAGTGATTGATTATGGACCAACACGTCGATGTACATATATATAACTTTCATGTCAGTTGTTCACCCCCAGTAGTATACTCTGCTAATACAGTAACACCTTATAAATATGTCCAAGATTAGAATTAACTTGAATAATCTGTGGCAGTTCAGTCTTCAACACCACAAAGTTTCATATTAATGTCTAGCCACAGCATTCTTATTTATGGATAATTTACATTTTCATGTCTCAAACTAACCCAAGTCGGAGGTAAGGGATTATGGCTCATTTCTTGGGCGGTCCATCTCTTTGTTGTCACCTTTCCTCTCATTATGCACATTGTTTCTTACCTTACTCACTTATACCCATTTCATCTGATTATTAATACCCAAATGTTAACCTAACCTATACTGTACTAATATATCTTACCACAGCTTAACCTTGCCCAACCCCACCCCAGGTAGCATTAGGGTGTTTAATTATCAGGTGAAATAAGCTGGCGTGGCTAATATTCACGTGGTTTTGGAAAATTTTGTCACCTAGTCAACGGTGGATTATTGTCATACACACTGAGTGACAGCAAAGAGAAGAGTCTTGTGCTACATTGATACTGTAGTGTTTTATAATCATGCTGTCTTGTGCTGCATTGATACTGTAGTGTTTTATAATCATGCTGTCTTGTGCTGCATTGATACTGTAGTATTTTATAATCATGCTGTCTTGTGCTGCATTGATAAGTGTGTTATTACCATGCTGTCCTGTGCTGTGTTAGGTTGTACAGAATCTTCCACTAACACTTCTGGCTACTGATCATGGCCACATCTTCAAGTGTTGACAGTTCAGCAGCAACACACAAAATATAAGCTAAAGGATACTCAACTGCTGTATTACCTCAGATCTTTTAAAAGTTTATTACGAAAAGAAAATTTTGGGGGGTACTGAAGCAGGAACTTAACCCCTTTTTTTCACTGTACCCCACTTAACGCGGTCAATTGAACCCAGAGGGTCCCGCGTTAAGTGAAAACCGCGTTAAGTGAATAACAGAACATATGGGATTAATTCCAATAGAACCCAGCCCGACCCCCAAACTCCACTTTTTGACGACAAATAACTATGTTGTAGTAAAAATAACATCTTAATTTTATGATGGTACATGCACACAATTAATACTTAAGAGAAATACAGTCGCCAAGTTAATGTCCATTCAAATAATGGACTCAACTCCCTCCCCCTCTCACACTACAGTACACAGCCAGCTAACAGATGGTCAGTCAGTCCCTCCCTCCCCCCCTCCACACCCACCAACCGTCCCAAGGAGATGTGTGGGATAACCTCAAACTAAAGTTAGGAAAATATAATTGACATTGCTGGATTCCTTGTAAGACCAGGAATATTTTGAATATAAATGTCATATATTTTTCACAAAAGATAACATACTTACTCAGATTAAACATTTTATCTAAAAATTGTATGTTTAATGCAAAAAATATGTTGTTTATATTCAAAATGATCACCAAATTATAAGAATTCCAGCAATGTAAATTATATTCTGGCCGGATAATTTGTATGAATTTTATGAGCTAAAACAAATATCTACAGTTAATAAAAAAAAAAATATATTCTTCAACACTATCTGTCAATCAAAGTACCCCACCTTGCCTCCCCCCCTCTTCCAACCGCGCGGTCAGTCCCAACCCTCCCCCCACCCCCCACCAATCCTCCATTCAAGAGTTTTTAACATTTAGTAATAAATAATACCTCAGATTAAAGTTAGGATAATATAATTGACATTGCTGGATTCCTTGTAAGACCAGGAATATTTTGAATATAAATGTCATATATTTTGGACAAAAGATAACATACTTACTCAGATTAAACATTTTATCTAAAAATTGTATGTTTAATGCAAAAAATATGTTGTTTATATTCAAAATGATCACCAAATTATAAGAATTCCAGCAATGTAAATTATATTCTGACCGGGTAATTTGTATGAATTTTATGAGCTAAAACAAATATCTTCAGTTAAAAAAAAATAATTCTTCACCGGGTAACAGATGGTCGGTCGGTTGGTCCCTCCCTCCCCCCCACCCCCCACCAACCGTCCCAAGGAGATGTGTGGGATAACCACTAAATTTTAATAAATAATACCTCAAACTAAAGTTAGGATAATATAATTGACATTGCTGGATTCCTTGTAAGACCAGGAATATTTTGAATATAAATGTCATATATTTTGGACAAAAGATAACATACTTACTCAGATTAAACATTTTATCTAAAAATTGTATGTTTAATGCAAAAAATATGTTGTTTATATTCAAAATGATCACCAAATTATAAGAATTCCAGCAATGTAAACTATATTCTGGCTGGGTAATTTGTATGAATTTTATGAGCTAAAACAGGCAGTCAGGCAGGGTGGCGGGTGGGGGGTGGTGCGAATCTAAAAATAGCTCTCGAGCCGGACACTCACCGCGTTGCTGTGGAAAAATCCGCGTTAAGTGAAAGTTCAGCTTTGGCAAGGCACCGCGTATATGCGAAAACGCGTTAAGTGAAAGCGCGTTAAGCGGGTAATACTGTACATGAATTCTGTATGTATGTGCAAAGTTTTCTAATAATGCAGCTTAGCATAAATCAATTGAGCAGTGTACAGTAGTTTACACCCAAGTGGAAAGTGATAAATAAGAAAAAGATGAATAGAATCAGAATGGAGGAAGAGGAGACAGCAGTTTTTGAGAATGTGGAGTAAAGTGTTTTGGCAGTCTGAGGTGTATGGAGGATAAGAGATCTCGAGAGTACTGTATAGGAAAAAGTATCTCATGGCTCTGTTGGCTGTTTTAGATGTCCCATAGAGTAAAAAATGTAGAGTTGTCTCCACTCCTACAATTACCCACTTAGCTTTGCCAATCCTCTCCCTCAGGTGTAAACCCTCGAACTCTGAAGCGTGATTTCCAAGCATTTACCTGCAGGTTGAGGGAGTGTCGGGGTAGGTGTCTTTCTATGGGGGGAGACAGGAGTGTGGACTGAAAGTGTATAACAGTTGGGAGAGATAATAATGCAGGATAAAGCTTTGATAATACCAACAGGATTTCTTCAGCCGAGTGTAATCTAGATGTAGCCAGATGAAAATACTAAAGTTGCAATAGGGTGAGAGAGGGATCAACTCATGTTCTAAGTAAGGTGTTCTTTTGTAAAATGGGGCACTTATGCACAAATAGATTATGGATATGTTTGAATCTACAGTATATCTTGTAGAAGCAGCAAAATTTTCTTTGATCTGTTAACTACAAGATGGAACTTCCAGAATGAAATAGACAAGATAATCAGGTAGTGGGCACCACATTTATTGTAATATAAACGATGTTAATAAAAATAGTTTGGTTGGCAGCTGTCTGGTATAGATTTAGCAAACAACATACTTCTGTAGATCATTTGTGCCAAACAGCGAAGTTAAATTGATAAAAAAAAAATATGATTACTGTAGCTGTGAGAAGAAAAATATAATTACTGTAGCTGTGGGGAAAAAATATGATTACTGTAGTTGTGGGGAAAAAATATGATTACTGTAGCTGTGGGAAGAAAAATATAATTACTGTAGCTGTGGGGAAAAAAATATGATTACTGTAGTTGTGGGGAAAAAAATATGATTACTGTAGCTGTGGGGAAAAAATATGATTACTGTAGTTGTGGGGAAAAATATTATGATTACTGTAGCTGTGGGAAGATATCATCACCTTAGGATTTTCTTCGAGTTTAGAGTGAAATATAAGTATCAAGGTCCTCAAGCCGACTATTTTATTGATACAACTTTAGAATTTATAAGCCGATCCTCATTTTGTATGTGTATACCGTTGAAGTGTCCTTTATAATTATCAATCATATGTTAATTACATTATTATCTTGGTTGAGAGAGTTGGAACAATTCTTACCGGGGATGTGACTTGAATGGGCAAAAACCAAGGATTTACCCATCATGTACTGAACTCTTAAAGCCCATCAGCTAGATTCAAGCTACATGTGTGTGGGTTAGATTCCTGTGATATACTTAACTGCCATCAACATAAAATTATACCAAACTTGAGATATTGCCTTCGTCCCCCCCTCTCTCGACTCGTGTCCCCTGCACCCCAATCTTTACCATCACTTGTGCCATAGTCAGTCTTCACCAGTAGGTCCTCTTAACACACATTCTGCACCTCTAAACCATCTCAATATCATACTGTACTGTCCTTTCAATGTAGTACTTAAGTCGTGTCCCCCTAACACACACTATTCTCACGCCTCCATTGATTACCAAGTCAGTTTACATGATTCCTATCATAATTTTAATTTTTTTCAGTAATGCTTTCTAAGAATAAGAGGGGGGTGTGGTTAGTGTGTGTGTGTGCGCACTTTATGCCTCAGGTGAAGGGAACATTCAGATATATGCTGATATTGTGCAGCATAAAGGTCTCTTGTGTGTGGAATCCCTTGTGTGTGTTTATAGAAAGGGAATGCCCATCTTCCTGCCTGATTCACTGGCCTCACATTGTGGAGCCCCTCAATATGGTCTGCCATATTCCTCAGACTGTACATTACCCTCTCAAAGGTCAACATTTCCACATTCCATACACTTGTTACTGTACTTCTTTTCTGGCCTCTGTGCAGTATTCTTCATTCAGAGTATCAATCAGTCCATGTTGAGTGTTGGTGCATAAACTTCACTACAGTACTTGAAGGTGCAAAAATGTTCAGTAAATGAAATGTTTAGGGAAGATTCTTCATGTGATGGCCTTGTTGTGAGGGAAGGTAAGGTGAACATGACATTGATGACATATTTTAGTCTAAATCAGTTACTAAAGTGAAATAAACTCAGATGTTGATGACAGTGTAGAAGAAACTTACATAAATGTTGCCAGAACCACCATATGTGAGGAGGAGATTTCAGGAGTCATCATTGTCACTCGTATGTGTTGCTTGGGGCATGTTTTAATGGTGTTTTGTCAGACACACTTATCATCATGTTGAGAGAAATGAACACAGTCTAAAACGTCCTGGGTTTTATACTGCAGATACACGTGAGCAAATAATACACAGGTACAGTACTGACTTGACACTATCACACATGCAATTGCAAGCAAACACATAATAAAGTGTGCATTACAGTATAGGTATTAAAAAATGCATGCATCTATAAATGTTTTAAACACACAACAGAGCCAGGTGTGTGTGTGTGTGCAGCTTTACTTTCACACAAAAAATGCCAACTTAGAGATGTTCATTGTGTTGTAGCAGCATGAAGATGTATTCAAATTATGAAGAATTGTAGTTAAATTAGAAACAACATTATAAAGTTAAGTCAAATGAGCTGTAGCAAGACAAATCTCCATGTATGTCTACCTATGAGAGAGAGTGGGGGCTCTTCTTTGTTGTTTCAGCCATGTTCTGTTGCTGATCACACTTGGGTCTGTGCACCACCTCCACCATACCAAATCATGTGGTTATGTGTCCCTTGTTCGAACCCCAAAGGAAACTGGGAGAGAAGTAGATATAGTGTACCAATAGAACCAGTCATGGGGATTTAATCAACGAAGCATGGCCATCATAGCACACATTAGATTAGAGGATTGGTGTGATTAACTGCCGGCGTGGGAGGTGACCGCCATGATTGCTGACTAACTGACCAAACCCTGTGATTAGAGGAGTGAGTCAGCTGCCAGGGTGAGTCACCCCTCGGCCACCCAGACTGTATCAGGCGTTATCTCGTCACCCATCTCTCAGGTTCTGGCTGCGTCACTGTTGATAGCCGTCACTCACATCCTGGTTGTCACAGCTTGTTGAAATTGTCTTCTTTTTTTTCATAGATTGTGCTCGGGATTTTTCATATTTTTTTCCCCCCCGGGTGAGTTTGTTGTCTTTTGACTGGTGTATGAAATAGGTTTTCATTAGCGGCATATTTCGGATTTTGTGGTATTGATTGTGCTAGATATTTGTAGATGAAATTCTTTCTTTTTCTCTTCTCTCTCTCTCTCTCTCTTTTTTTCTCTGTTTAAACTTCTCTTTTCCTTCAATTAAATCCAAATAAAAATAAGAGAAAGAGAAGAATACATAGGGCCAAAGATCCTAAGTTAGTATGGGTGTAAGGAGTGCGTGACAGTGTTGGCACAGTACAGTACAAGACCATGAAGGAGGTGGAGGGACTGGTATGGTAAGTCTGGTGTTGTCATGTTCAATGGTGTACTGTACTGACCCAAAAGAGGTGTTTAATGAGAGTTGTGAGTGATGGTAACTTGAAGGAACCTCTTGACTTCACTGTACTGTATGTTCGAGTTGTGTATGTGAGCGGGTTTGTGTGTGTGTTTGTGTATACAGTATATATACAGGAATACCCCGGTTATTGTTAAGGATCTGTTCGTAATGGTTATCGCGAATATCGGGGCAATTTTCCCGTAAGGATTAATGTGAATAGGGGGAGGGATGCGTTCCCAGTCAGCAACTTTCACCAAGTATTTTTTTATACGGTATATACTCTTCATTATCTGAGGCTATTAGGGACCAGGGTCGTGTGTATACTGAAACACCAGTAAATGTGAACAATGAATAAAAATTACACTAATAAATAAGATAAGATACCACATTACCAGTTGGCTATAGTTTCACTCCAGGCTGGACACAGGAGACTGGAGCGGCTGAGGTCCCCAACAATGTGCGCTAACTATCGAGCACGTGGGAAATATTTATTCCCTTTGTTTTTCACCTGATGATTTTTTTTCCTCCATATTCTGTTTGAGCAATTGTGTATAGTAATTTTTCTTTTCAGGGTATGTTTTGTAAATATCGAAGAGTGGTGTTAAAATATATATTGTGGATAAGCGGGGTTGCAATTAGTGAGGTATTCCTGTATGTACGTGGGTGTGGTTATTGTTATTATTTTAATCCATTCTTGTCACCTGGTAGTACGTACGGAATTTCCCCTCCGGTCGTTGAGGTTTTATCCCCAGTAGGACAGGAGTTGATTTATTCAATTGAACTCTGTCTACCGTAGGTTTTTTCTTCATCAGTCTTCTTGTTCCCTCCACCCTCTTGTTGGCTCCTAACCCATCACAAATTCTCACTTGTATGAGAAACATTACTTTACACTTGTAGTTTTAGTCTTAATGAAGTCATTTACCCACATCTAAAGCATGGTAATCAAGGGGAACTATGGTGAATGTTTGTTATAGTTTAACCCTCACAGAGCTGGGAGGTGTGGTAGGTAGGTATGGAGCTTCTTTAGGTTTTAGTAATAGATAAATATACTGTGTGTGTGCCAGTTTGATGTTCCCTGCCAGCATCAGTTTGGTGGATGTGAAAATAATGTTCATTCTTTCAGGAAATGTTTCCATCCCATACCTTCTGAACCACATGCTGCTCAAGTGACATAACATATTATGATATTGAGAACTGATTGGCACATGGTTACAGTCCAAGGATTTTCCACCTTTACAAAGCTTTTGATTGGTCATGAAGTCTGTAATGCATGTTACAGATAGTGATTATTGTACAGCAGTCTCTGACAGTTTCTTCTCTTAATATTACAGGTGGAGCTGGAGCAGCCAGTGTTTGGTGCCAACTACATCAAGGGAACAGTGGTTGCACAGCCGAATGGTGGTTGGAATGGACAAGCCAAGTTCAAGCTGACATTCAAACATGGTGGAGCAATCGAGTTTGGCCAGGCTCTGCTGAAAGTGGCCTCTCTTGGTGGGTGGCCCTGTAGGGGTCATTTATGATGAATGTGTTGGTGACTGGATCAATAAATTAACTGTGTGATTTTATGTACTATTACAGTGTACATACTAGGTAGGGGACAAGGTGCTGTACTGTATTGGTTACAGTATTGAGATAGAGAGACAGGTAGGTAACTTGTGATAATATAGTACAGCGTGCCCTGACAATTCACGGATTTTTAATTTGCGGTCCTCGACTATTCACGGATGACACCCTGGACATACCCAAGAATGTCAGCAGGTAGTTTTAAAGTTGTCGGCATTTTTGAGGCCGTGACAGGGAGCCATTCGTTCTAGAGACAGTAATTTTTACGAGGAAAAAATTGCCGTATGGCGACCCAACCAACTCAATTTTAATAACACAGCACGGAATTGACTTGAAGGTAAACTCACATTTTTTCTATATTTTGATACATTTTGTTTTGTTTCTGATTATTTATGAGAGGATTTTCCCATTACAGTATTATTTATTTGCACGTGTTTTGTGTACACACACACACACACACACACGTAAACAATACAGGTAAAAGAAATAATTGTCCAAAGGGCAAATACATAAAGGGACTATACATTTAGGCACTAGACATTTCTTTGTACACGAGTAAAAATACCCCCCTCCCCCCCCTCACCCCCGGTCAGCAAATGATATTTGCGGATTTGGCTATTCACGACCATTTTGAGAACCAAACCCCACGAATTTTAAGGGCATGTTGTATTGTGTTGTGTTTGAGTAATATTTGCACATTTAGCACATCAGTACAGAAGAATTATTTAGGGCTGTGTTACTCGTATATTTATGTAATGTAAGTCTCCCTCATGAACAAGAGTGTGTCACACTCATCACGGGTGTGTGCCTTCACAGTATGTGCTGGATACCTCCACCATCTTTGTTGAATGTTTTGTAGACAACTAGATATATTGACATCATCATTTGCTTATTCTTTAGGTCAGCAGTCAACTCATGATTATCATCCCATCTTTCATCACTATAAGTTGTGAAGTAAAGTTTTCACTACTCAGACAGTTTACAGTTATTCATGGTGGTGTTAAACTGAAGTGATTCTAATGAGTACAATTTTGAAATACTGTATATTAATTAAAGTTAATACTGCAATAATATGTATGAGACAAAAGTTATAAAGTAATTTCTGGTGTTACAGCCACTCGTAACATGGACAATGGCTACCGTGATGCTCCTCCACCATACTCCCAGCCATCGGCTACCTGGGCTCAGGCTCCTCCCCCAGCCTACGCTCCACCCACTGGTGGCTATTACGGCTGGGTGCCACCAGTCAACACCTTCCCTGACCGCCCTCCAGGTATGTCCACAGAGAGTTAACCAGTCACTGAATATGTGGACTGGGCTATCCTGACTACTGCTGTCTCTTGTAAGCATAAGCTTTTGTTTTGCCGTGTGTGTTAGTGGTGTTAGTTTATTGAGGTCTTTTATAATTGCTTTTGTGTTTTAAAATTTTATATTGATATGGGACTTTGCAGACATAAAATGTTGGGAAACTTTTAGGTGTGTGGTAGTCACAGGGATACCACATAATACTCAACATTGCAACTGTACAGTGTTGTAATATCTCTCATATTTTTCATTGTCACAAGTTATGAAATTTTACGCCAATCTTTTCTGTTTTACCAAGTCTACCTTCTATTTTTAGATGTACTTATGCCTCCTCCTTCATTCACTATCCCTGAAAGGAAGGTCAGTGTTTAATGTTGGAAGTACACACAGAGATCTTCTGGGAGGTGGTAAAGTTGGCTGTATAGTTAAATAGATTAGAATTATGGTAAGCAAAAGGATCGATCAGTATTAAAGCAAAGATGGAGAAACGGGAAAAGGGAACAAGCATCGTGTCAGGTGAATGTCAGCTGGCATAGACAATAGGGAAGAAATCAGATGAGTAAGGGAGAGAGGAATGAGTGCAGTGAATGTACCTGGGAACTAAATATGGCTGGGATAGTAGTGAGAGGGTGAGGAAAAACAAAAGAGTGTAGGATGGGTATAGAACAGGGAGGAGTTAAGAGGTGGTTAGGTTTATATAGACCAGATATTTTAATAAAGATTCTTGCCATAAAAATGAAAGGAGATTCTTATAATGTTATTAATAATTTTGTTGTGTACTTATATACGACTCCTTTATTTTAGTCTCGGAACTTCAAAACTAATAAAATAATTTCAAGTTGTCTTGGGTAATATAAATCTTTTGTCTCGAATTTAACGTCTGTATTTTATTTTTCTCTCAGCGGACGGTGTCTTCATGTACGAGGCTCCTCCCCCATACCCCGGGATAGGTGGACACAATGGCTACACCAATGCTACAGGTGCCACGGGCATGTCTGCTGCAGGTTGGTTGCACGACTCGGTGGGGGAAATCCTCGTAACCCTCACCAGTAACTTTGTGATCTTTACCTGCTAATGACTTCTCTCCACACACCATGAAATGTTGTTGGTATTTCTGTGTAAAGAAAGTAAAGTCATTTAATGGTTTAGTTTGAGAAAGGAGAGTATGATCAGAGGTTAGATGGTTAATTATGGTACAATATTTAGGTTCTTACACGAGTTTATTTGAACATGTAAACATATAATATTTATATGTTTATAAGTTCATATAAACATAAAATGTTGACTATGGATAAGACAAGAAATGTTGCTTTCAATTGATATACGAGACGCTGATGAAACCAAGGCTACTAATGAGGGGCAGAACCAACAAGCATATCACAATATCCATCGTCCTTGGTGTCATGTTGTTTCTCACAGTGTGTGGTTATGTACTTCTTTACTGTACACTATTAAATGAGGACACCCATATGTTGAGACACCCACATGTTGAATGAGACATTGTGTTACATGCAGTGCTGTTTAAAGCGAACCAGCTATCATTAGTAGACAAATATTTAAGAGTACACATGTGTTGGTCACTACTGTTTGGGAAAAACTTTTGTACAGGCATCTCCAGGTAGGATGTATAACCATATTGCTATCGATGACGACGGTATTAATTAATGTGTGTTTGTTCTTGATGCAGATGCTAAGGCTCAGGAGGCGGCCCAGAGCGCTTACTATGACCCCAACAATCCCCAGTATGCCTACGTACCTCCACCAGCCTATGTGAGTATTGTACCTCTGAGGTGTATATATATATATTGTAATAGTTTACAGTGACGTGTGATAATGACCAGACTTAATACTGACTCGTGTGTCCATTATAGAGTGACGTGTGATACTGACTAGACCTAAAATAACAACTCTTTTTTTTTTATGTCCATCTGCATCCACAGTCCGAGTCACCACCTTCTTACGATGTCGCCACTAAGAAAAACCACTGAAGGGGGGTAGCACGGTGTTCTTTCTTCACTGTGAGATCTATCGACAGTTGCTGCTAAACTCTTGATCCTGCAAAAAGCTATTCATAGTCATATCAATCTTGTCATTATAACCCAAGTATGTATTTATCAAACATTTTTTCTCTTTTTTTTTCTTAATTGTGAGTTGTCTCCATTCTTGAAGCATTTTGTAGACCAGAGGTGTTTAAAAACTTCACTTTCTGGAGAGGCTGTAAGAACATTGTGTAGTGTATTCTATTAGGAGTAATTATATGAACTAATATACTACTAATATTAAAGAGTCATCATATGGAAGTGTAGAGGAAATGGTGTTGGGTAAGGTGCTAACAGTAAGGAATAATACCAAGACATTGTATTTTAATCCTGGCTTACCGTCTATAAATTTTTTGTACTGATACCAAGTGAAAGTTTGAATAGGGAATATCTTGGCGTCAGGTGATTTTTGACACTGTCGATACTCACTACTCTTTAAAAATACGTATGACAACATTTAATGCATTTACTCTAGGGTTAATGACACACATATTCTTAACTCTAACTTCTCCTCTATTAAAATCATGTTTACTGTTCCATTTGTGTATAAGAAATGGCCATTATGAAGACTAGCTTGATGAAGTACTGCTTGAAAATATCCCTCACATTATGTATATGAGAATTGGCACTGTGTTTAGAAGAGTTTTATTCAATTTACCTTGAATCACTGTACTTTTTTTCCCTGGTAGTCGATGAACACGAGTGTTTCAGCTCAATACGAAGCATAAAAGTTAAATTATTAAATGTTACTGGTAGACAAAATCAGAAGGTAATTGCAAGTTAACATAGATGATTGTTAACTCTCTCTTCACCTTCTGTATTGATGTCAACAGGTTCATTATAAAAGTTAGTCACTGGCTTAAGATCATTGGCGAGTTACTTTGTGCAGCGGGTCAGTGCAACTTACCATCAAAGCTCTCGTGGTATATATTTGTGCCTGTTCTCAATATACAGTAATGTGTGAATTGGGTTTCAAGGTTTCTAGTTTTTCTTGTTTGAGCTCACTAAATAGGTTAATGATAAGAGGCTATTATGAGAATGATCTAAGAATATTATGCAGAATAGCTTACAAGGTGTGTTTGGTGGCCACCTTTGTTAGAGAATTGTGTGACTTGTGAGGTGTTGGCTGTTTCTTACCATAAAGTTGTATTAAGTGTACATTATAATAAAGGGTAACTTATTTTAGGCTCTTAACTAGTATGAGTATTGCATAGCCACTTATGACTTTGATATTTATATTTATGGTAAAGTAAATGCATGGAAACACTCCTTTGCTTAGAGAATTCCTAAGTATTTTCCAAGTGGGAAATACTGTAAGGTTCATGAATCTAATGCCTGGAAAGAAGAGTACCAAGGAGCTATTGTCAAGTATTGAGTGTGCATCAGTAGTACACAAGCAATTTGTGCACCAATCCCACAGTTGTTACTTATAGTTGTGAATTGTTTTTGATAGATCTAGCACATCTCCACCACAACATTCTTTCACACTTTAGAGAATGTTTGACATTCCTAGGATAAAATATGATTGCTGGACAGAGGATAAATGGAATACATTACACTTTAATTGATGACGAATTTCATTGTATGTTAAGGGAAGGTTGTGCAGGAGGCTGTCCTCTTGATGAAGCAAGTGAAGGTTGTTTTGTATTTCTTTGGGGTAATTTTGTAAACTATTCTCCTAAAGCTTAATTATTTTCCACATTTTTATCGGAAACAAAACCTGCCAGGCAGCAATTGCATGACGTAAATAAGATGATAATGTAGGTATAAGCCAGGTTAAGGTCAGAGGTCTTATTCTGCTGACAGTTTTGTACATCATTATGTTTAAGTCATTTTATAATTGTTCATCTGAAGATGTCCTCAGACCCGGTTGTACTTTACTCCTTTTGTTGTTTATTTTCCTATTTTAAGGGTATTATGTACTGTATTTAGCTTCCAATGATGGACTCTGCTATACATTATTTATGTTTTGTGTTTTCTTGTGATAGATCTTCGGTATTTTCTTGATTTGATTCTCGTCACTTGTTGATATTTTCTTCTCCGGAAGGTTTCTTTATCGAGTTATTTGCTGTCATAAGCTGCATTATAAAAGTGAAATGATATGTTTAGATTGTTTAGCAATGTTGGCAGTATTGATGTGGGTAATAAACATTTGGTAGAGTAGATTTTTTTTTTCAGTTTTGGATGTGGGCCACTGTACTGTAGTGTGTAACTCAGATCTGACAAAGCTGAAGGTCTTAGATCAAGCCAGCCACATGTTTTGGTGGGAAGTTCTAAGTTTTAGATATTTTGGTTTTATATCAAAGTCATGCAGCATTGTTCACATAACTTGATCACTTTTTAAAAGGACACAAATGTTTATGGCCCCTCAATCATTGACTCGTCTGTCACAGAGGTGGTGATAAGATTCCCACCAGGTTTTAGCATGGAAGCCCTAAATTGAATGTTGTTGTTTTGGGGAAACTTAAGTATAGATTGAAAGAGTAGTTTATTAAGTTATTCAGTGATTGTATTCTCCATCAGCATTAGTGAGTAGCAGCCTTAATGCCAGTTGGAGAGAACCCTCAGCTGATGTAGTGATACTAACTGCTCTTGTAACTTTTTGTTGTGATTCTACCAAACATTCTTTTCTCATATCTCTAAGTTTTCTTTACTGTACTTGTGAGTAGATATTGTAAGATAACCCATTTTGTTACGACGAAAATTCATATATTTTGTGATTATATACATATAAATATATATATATATATAAATATATCCAATAAATGTCATGTAACACATTTTGTAGTACTTTTTTCCCTTATTGTTTATTTTGTGTTTGATTATAGTAGGAGTTGGTAATGCCCTGCGACCCTTGATGAATGGGGAGAAGGAAGAGTAGTGTAAGCAGCCTGATCCAAGGGGTAGTTATTCCTCCCATACTACGGTATATATAGATGTGAACCAAGGAACCTTCTAAGTACAATTCAGGTAATTGAAAAAAAAAAAAAAGAAAACTACCAATATATTTTGTACTGTATGATGAAATTTAGGAGAGTATGCAGGGTGAAGAATAATGATTTTTTCACATCACTTTACAAGCTGTTCAGGCAATTGGTCTGTTCTTTGTTATGACCTTTATTGTCCAGTGTTAGTACAGAATATAACTGGAATACTTTGAGACAATCTGCTATGTTTGGTAGTGTTGTTACGTACGTTTTCTATATTTTCTCTATCGTCCGTTTCAGGAACTCGGGAAATCCAATGTTATGTTTGCATATTTAAAATTATGAATGAATGCGTATGTGTTACCTGTAATGTAAGATATGCCTACTTATAGCTGAAACATTCAAGATCCATTGTGAGCAATCTTGGACCTTCAACCGTATTTACTTGTGAACGTGCAACATTTTGAGACAAGACCTCCGCCATGAAAGTCGAGTGGGAGCAGGTGAAGGTTGTGAGGATGAACCTGTCATCTTTAACCCCTCTCAAGAAGCTGAACCTCCTCATCCTGAAGAAGTTCTTTACTTCTTCAGGTATAGAGAGGATTAAGAAGGTCGTCCGCCGGCCAAGTGGTAGCCTCATGGTTACCTTCGTCAACGAGTGGCAGAACAAACAACTTAAGGATATTACGTGCATTAAGCTGGAGGTCAATCTCTGCTATTATGCGGCGTGGACAGTGATCTCCCACGCCACATTACAACACCTGAAGACACAGGAAATGTTTACTTGGAGAAGAAAATGAAGAAACAAGACAGAAAATCCACCTCAGCTCTGGTAGGTTTTTCCTACAAGATACCAGAGTCGGTTACACTGGGATGGGTCACCGTCCCAGTGAAGCCGTATATACTAAGACCAACCAGGTGCCACAATTGCCAGCACTAACCAAGAGGAACATTAGTTACAAGGAGGCTCTCCTTGTACAGTAAGATCTCATACTTCGCACGATTTCAATTTGTGTTTTTTAATTCAGCGAGCACTACCTGATATAACCAAGTCTTATATTTGGCGTACAGTATAGTCTTCATTTACGCTGTCAATTGAACCCGTGGAGGTCCGCGTAAAACGAGAAACGCGTAAACGAAATAACAGAACATATGGGATTAATTGAAATAGACTGGGCCAACCTCCAAACTACACTTTTTCCGACACAATACGTACGTTGTAGCAAAAATAACATCTTAATTTTATGATGGTATGCACACACAATTAATATTTAAGAGAAATATCAATAATATTAGTTTTTTTAACACTTTCGTTAGAAAAGATGGCTGGGCACATGGAGATGAGGGGTTGGTTTCGAGGCAGAGGGCAGATTATTGGCCCTCACCTGTATCACTTGTATCACTATCCACCACAGAGGTTTGCAGGGCCTCTTTGCCAAACCCCTCAAAATCCATATCCTCACTATTGTTCTTTGTAAACATTAACAAAGATGTCCATTAAAATGGTTAAAATTCTCCACAAAAATGGCCAAAATTTTCTGTGAAAAAAAAAAATCTTAAAAGTTACCGGGTAACAACATTATCCTTAAAAACTTTCAACATTTCCGTAAAAAATGGTCCAAATTCTCCGTACAAATTTCTATCATTTTCTGTAAAATTTTCCAAAAGTTTCTGGAGAAATTTCCAAATTTCCCTGTAAATACAGTACAGTACTGTATTTCCATACTTCTCTGTAAAAAAGTCAAAATAGAGATTCCTTTGAACAATGAGAGAGCTCCATTCCCTTGACCAATTAGAGCTCCATTCCCTCGACCAATCAGAGAGCTCTATTCCTTTGACCAATCAGAGTTCCATTCCTTCAAACAATCAGAGAGCTCTATTCAATCAACCAATCGGAGTTCCATTTTCTCGACCCATCAGAGAGCTTCATTCAATCGACTAATGGAAGACCTCCATTCCTTGGACACAATCATAAAGCTTCATTCCCTCAACTATCAGAGAGCTTCATTCCCTCGACCAATCGGCGAGCTCTATTCCCTAGACCCTACCTCATGCGTTTCCTTTGTTTATACTTGAGAAAACCACTGCTTTCACTTGCACTCGGTGGCCTATTTCCACTCATTTTGAATACAGGTAATATACTGGACAGTCTTGAATAAGATGCACATATAAGTGTTAATTCCAAGAGCTGGGTCAAGAGATTTAAGCGTACTCGCTGGGAGATATAAACAAATGACGTCCATGGGTGTGGGTGTGCTGCTTGGTGGTCGCAAACTCCCAAGAAATCCACACCCATTAAAATATAATGTCTGTTGTTTTTTTCGACCCATTTCAGTTGGGTCGAATTTAAATGCCGTATTGTGAACTAGTGGCCATAATTTACAAATTCCATTTGGGTAAATTTCCACAACCTGAGTTACCGTAACATGGGGGATACATGTACACATATTATTTATCTTTTTGTTGTCTTTATTCTTCATCTCTAATTATGTTAGGGTGGATCAGAGGTATAAAACTTGGAGAGAAAATTGTGGAAATAGTAAGGAAGACTGCAACAGGGAGAGCAGTGTGTGATGGAAGAAGACTAAAACCACAAGCACAAACTCCTATAGTCCAGAGTCATCCTCAGTAATTTGTGGGGGAAGTAAACATGTTATAAGGTTTGTGACTCATAACATCACCCTCTTGACATTAAAGTATAGTTTCATCCATCATGTAAGTAGCGGGCACTGCATCATCATGTGTGTGTAACTAGCATGCACATGTGACTGCACCAGATAACAAAATTGCTCTGAAGATGCAATCTTTTGAGCCATCTTTCAACTGCTAAGTCATAGAATAACTGCCATGATAGTTGAATTTTGTCTTTGTAACAAGTAGCACTGCATTGCTTAGAATCAAATTTAATCTAGGGTAATACAGATGTGACTAGTCAAAGAAGCTTAGATAATTTGGAGACACAAATCATCCTCAGTCAAGTGAGTCGATGGGAAGGAAGGTAATCTTCAATATGTACAGTACAGTATAACATTATTCATCCACTAATTCCTGATTCATTTTATTTGTCATTGAGGCAGTCTGTCAGTTCACTCAACAGTGAGTCTTCATATGCGTGTGAGTTGTTCTCCGACTCTTCTGTTTCCTCTTCTATATCGTAAGAGTGGGGTTCTTCATACACCTGAAGAGAAAAAAAAATTTATTCTAAAACATTTTTCATAAACTCCCAAAACTTATGTACAATATTGTGTAGGTTATTACTGGCCAGTACAACAGAACTCTACCAAGAAAGGGACGGAGAGTTGTGTCCATCACCGAGATTTCACAGTTCAAAATGATATTAACACAAGCACACTCATGGGTTAAGGAAGTTTCATATACTGTATGTTAGAATATGATATATGCAGCTTCAGGTGTGCTAGTCTGCAATCATCAATACAATAATAGTAATATGGGCCTTGTCTAAACTGCATACAAGTAATTCATAAACCTTTAATAAGCTCACACTAATTTTATGTAGTACAGTTATTAGTTCATCCTACTTGTAACACATCACTGACCAACATTCTTATTACTAACAACAGTGGTTACTCAACACGAACATTGGCTCCATGGTCAGAATTTGAGTGAAAATTACAATCTCTAATAGTGAGTTAACACACCTGGTCATCTGTAGACTTGTCACCAGCTTCATCAGGCTGAATGAGAAAGTCCACCCATGCCATCACCCCTCCTGGGAAGCCTTGGACATACTTCAGAATAATGTAGATAGTGTTGAAGGCTTTGTTTGTGTTCGACCTGGCCATATCATCACTGTCTTGAGTGTAATCGTTGAGAGTAAAGTTAGTGACGATAGGGTAGATGGAGTTAGATACACGAGTCGTGGCCTTCATACCACCCGATACTATGTTCTGTGCCATCGTTTTTCCGTGCATCACCACCTTATATGGTATACCAACTCCACTTGTCACTGTAATGTGTGCTGTGCTTATTACAATTGTCACCACACTGTATGTTATATCCTTTCCACTCACAATCACCATCTGCATAACATTCAGGCTGCCATTTAAAGCTGTGTGAGATATACTCAGTCCATTTCCAACCACATTGTGTGCCAAGTTCATACCAGTCGTCATCACCTTCTTAACCACATCCACTCCATCCATCACCACATCATTCACCATGTGAACACCACCTATCACCACTGAACCAGTTTTGCCACTTGTTGTCATTTCCTGCACTCTTGCCATTCCACTTGTTACCAGTGACCAGACTGTGCCTGCCCCTTGCATTACTTTACTATGCATCGTTTCTGCTCCATCCATCAGCAGTGAGTGTATCTTCCCACCTCTTCCTGCGAGGTGTTGCCGGGTCACGTAGATGTACCAGGAGAAGAGTGAGCGTCTCCCGAGCTCCAGCTGTCAAAGAAGATCTAACTTGTTACACCCACCAGGCCTGTGGTAGTCATACCTCTCTGCTCTACTGTACAGTAATTGTAACTACAGTATAAATGATGTAGAGTACAGTATTGGATGTGAATTAAAACTTTCTATCACTGTTAATGAACCAGTGTGGTGAGTTTCTAACATACTGTTCAGTATAGCACAGCAGGTTAAACTGATGTTCATTTTTAAGGCTAATGTATTATTACATATTGTACTCAAAGGCTAGACTGACCAAGTGCCCAGATGTAATTATGATATCATCATCATCCAGTTCTTGATTAGAGTTGACATTAAGGGTTGTGTGGACTCCTCGCTTAAAACGTCTACAAGATTTATCAGCCAGTGCAGCTACTTTCATCCCGAGTGATCCATCTCTGCCATCTACAAAGTCAAAAGTTATAAAGGCAAGTGAATATTACAAGATTTATATCATAATGACCTCAGTATTAATCACCTTTAACCCTTAAGTGGCACCCATCATCGGTGGAATTTTCACATTCCTTGCATTAAATTTTTGTGCATAAAGGGGGTAAAGGAGTATGAAATCCTTGTGTATGGGTCACCTGGGAGCAGAATAAAATCATCTGGCATTAGCCAAATAAAATATTAAAACTGGCATCCCCATACTGAAGGGGTTAAGGGTTAATAACATAATTCTCTGTGGTCAAAATTGAGAAGTTTCAAGCACATTATTACAGGAAAAGTTTACCTTTGCAGGATTAAATATTTCTAAAGCTTACCTTAAAGTAATATTTGTTCCCACACCTAAAATAAGCAGCAACATCTCCATAAAAACACAGAATAAGTAATTAAAGAACGTCAAGAGGCTAGTGTAAAAGGGAGAAGCACACTCAGTGATGGGGGCATGTTTGTAAGGGATGGTTATGCAGTAAAGGGGGATCATACTGGTGATGAGTGGGTAGCATAGTCAAGGGGGGAGTTCATATCAAGTGGTATCAAAGTAATGAGAGGGAATGTGTTAGTTAAGGGAGAGGGTATTGCATATAAGATGCACCCCTCATTTAAGCAGGGAGTACTGTATTTAGGAAAAACTTTTGTGTGTATTATCCTCCTGTAGCCATAAGTCTTCTGAAAACAATACATACAGTACCAGTAAATGTGAGGAATAAATAAAAATAATACCAATAAATGAGTTACAACAAAAATACTCTATTGCCAAACTAGTAAATACAAGACAAATGTAAGTTTAACACAGTCACCATTTGCATGAACCACCAGTAAGTCCTTGATATATGCGTGGGATGCGTTCCTGACAACCATCGCATAAATCGAATAATGAGTTAAATGGGAAAAATAGGATGTTTCATCACCCAAAATGAAAATGTTCCAAACCCATTTTCAAGATACCCGGTATTTTAAAATAGTAGATAAAGCAAGTGTACAGTACAGTGTGCTTAACATTAAAAGCAGATACAGTACAGTAGACCCTTGCCATTCGTGAGGGATAGGTTCCAAGAATTGGCAAAACCACAAATAGCAACTTATACTACCTCAGTGCACTACTGTATACCTATACCAAACAACTGACCAGCCGCAGCAGCACTCATCCCCTTCTTTAACTTATCTAATAATAAAACTTTCTTTGTCAGGGTCTTCACTGGCTTCTGCCTTTTACATTTCACTCCACTAGCATTGACTCTAGGCAGTCTTTTAGGGGCCATTTCACACAGAAACACTAAAGTTTTGAGCGTACAACACGAGATGCTGCACGGGGTGACTCATTGTGCTCGGGAAAAGGCTCACAAGCTAGCCACCATCTGCTTACCGTGAATCGTCGAAATCGCGAATCGCAAACTCGCGAATGGCAAGGGTCTACTGCACATCAACTTGGGTAGACAAAATGATGGAGGTGGTGGTAGAGGTTTTACCTAGTGGGTGATGGTATTGGAGTGACATCTGCAGAGTCATCAGGGTTGGAATCCATATCAGGGTGTGTGACATATCACACACATTAATTGAATTCCTGGTAGGAATAGGGTCTTTGCATATATCAAGGAATTACCGACATCTGTACTCCCTGTTCACCATTGCAATGGAGATGCTACCTCTGCTGATTCCCTAGCAGTGCTCCCCCCTCCCATCAACAGCTGTGCCGTCCTCCTGCTCCCCCACTGGACCAGCTAACTCGTGCAAAGAAATGTGTATTCCCTTTATGTGTTTGCCCTTAGGACAATCATTTATTTTACTTTTATCACAATATGTATGTAGGATGGTGTGTGCATGTAACTGAGTAAAATGAAATGAAGAAAGTTACATATATCCACCCAAAAATACGTGTTGAAAAACAACCATAACACCTCACACCTTGGCCCAGTAGCCTAGTGGTTACAGTGATGAGTCTAACCTGGCTACAATGTTGCCAGCTATGTTAACAAATGCAAATGTGAGAAGAAAGTTATCTGTAAATCTACATTTGTATCAGGTATTTGTAGATTGAAAAATAAATGTTGCAGGTATAGCATTAATAGATTGTAATGCATATAAGAGTTCAGAAATGGTTACTGCTTAGCTACCTCTGAAGAGTTGGGTGTCTGCCATATGGATGTTAATTGTCTCAGGTTATCATCAGTACAGTACAGAGTAGTTATAAATCGATCTTTTACATTTAAAACAATTATTTTTTAATTAATTAAAAATAATAATGTGTTTACCTAGGTAAGTAATAACATATTTCTAATTCTGGAGTTGGGTTGGGTAAAATTTAGCCTACTGGAGACAGGGATCAATAGCTTACAGAAGACTGCAACTTCACATAATATTTTATAGGATGCAGGCTGATTTATAGAGCCATTTTTCTGACAAAAACGTGCGTCTTATATGCCATAAAATATGTTCGAAGTGGCTAGCATAGTATCATCTCGCCTAACATACCTGAATCGTGAAGGTCCCCATCATGAGGTGGAAAGTAAGTGTCTACCAAGGTGTGGGCAGAATCAAGGAAACGGTCAGCCATGCCCACCGCCACACGTCCTCCGCTACTCTCGGTAATGCACCCCACCTTCAGAGGTACATTTTGTATCATTAACATTTATATTTTACAGCATCTGTTTTGTGAAATATATTAGCTTTAAATATGACAAATTTTTCAGTGTGTGAACAATTCTAGATTGTTTTATATTTGACCTCTTGTCACTTGTCACATGAAAATAAAATTGTATAACTGAATTTTAATATTTCCCAGGCTTTCACTTGTATGGGTAAATTTACAGAAATAACAGATTAAGAAATGTATAAATATTCTGTTTCATCATTATTTTTCAGACTTATTGAAGTTTGTGTGGTACATAATGCTGCTGTTGTCAGGCAGATAGGTGACCTGAGAATATGGTAGTATAATGACATGCAGGAGACCTCAAAATACCCTCTGATGAATCCCTGCCTGATAACAGTCCAGGTGAGAAACTTGTTGAATTAATGGTGACAAACTTGAATGAAGAATTCTGCATGTACAGTACAGTGTATACTATGTGGAGGAATACTAAAGCTTTCTTGTTTACCCTGTAACATATATTAAGTTCTTCATTCTGAGTCCCTGTTAGTTTCTTGCTCTTTGATGTTGCAAATGTATGTTTCACTGGTATGAGTTAGTATTGGTTGCACCAGTTATTCTAATAATCCTCCCTACAACTACCGGCTCACACCGTCTTTTCTCGTGGTTCTCCTTATAGCTCTTAGTAATATGCTTACTGGTTCTGTTAATAATGGTCTTGAAGCTGAGCATACAAATTAACTGTATCTGTGACCATACTGTTAGGGATGATAATGATAGATGTACAAAACAGAGACTCCTGACCGTGTAGGTGGCGCGGGTGGTAAGGGCAGCACCAACAGTGGGCGGGGGCAGATCGTCTGAGCCAACGTCACCAGCCAGGGTGGTTAGCACAAGATTCCGAGTGGTCCTCACAATCTTGTGCCATCAGACAAAGTTCACATTAGAATACAAGGCAATATATTCCATTAATTGAAAACAGAACTTTATCCTTTATTACCATATAATTAAACTACTACCTGTAGACTAAATACTGGTACATATTTGGAGCAATTTAATGTCCTTCATACTTGGACCATTCTCTAGGACATTATCACTGGTGGCTGACAACAGACTTCTAGCTCTAAAAATATTATGTAATTTTCGACACATATATTCACTCACCTCTCTAGTTGATTTAGTGATGATGGGAGCTGCTTCCTTAACACGATCAAGACCTTTACATGCCCACTTGTCTAAGACTGCCCAACCAACCACCCGCTCCACCAGGGGTGTAGCCAGAGGTAACGCCGTGTTGGCTACCGCCCACACACTGACCTCTGCTGCTTGCAGGGCCACTCCCACATACTGTTGTTCCTGTAAAGAACATATCCAGGTTACTTATGTGAGGCTGGACCTGATGGGTGCTGATCACTAGCAGGGGTTAGAACAATTATAATCTTTCACTTGTCATTAGCCAGGTGATTCATAATGTGTTGATTACCTGGATCAGTTTAATGTACACCCAAAATTAACCAAATGTTTCTGTAATATAAACAATGATTGGTGAAGGGATCATTATGAATCAATGGATAAAATTTAGTTTAAGGGGGTATGGCCATTTTCCATGGTTGCATAGAAATAATTTAAGTTTCAATTTTGTATGTGAATTAGGAATACTGTACATATTCAAACACTTTTTGTAGAAAACAGTTGACTCAACTGGAGCCTGGGTACCTAACTTAGCAGTTACAGTTGTGAAGGTTTGTACATATCAGTACAGTAAAGTACCAGGGATGCTGTCTCTTTGTGCATCATTGGCTTTATCATCAGTGTGTTGTATCCAGAACTGCCTCTAAAACAGGCCATCAAGCCTATGGAACCCACATTCATTTTCACAGTTCTGTGACTACAAGTAGGACTGTACTACCATAAGTAGGAAATGTTGAACTGTCTGATATGCAAGTGAAGACACAACTTGGACTTGCTTATTGCTCTTCTAAATTGTTTAGGGCCAGCAAGCAAGGAAAAAAATTTGGGTAGTAATGTCCAAGGCAGGCGGTGTCTTCAAGAGAAGTACTAACCTTGGTGGAGCAGTAGAGGGAGGTGGCCAGGGTAAGGGCATCATGCAGCACTGGCAAGGACATCATTTGTGTCACAAACACCTGAGGAGCGAGGTCGTCCTGCCTTATACCTTGACTCATCGATGTCATGTTTGGTCCTCTCCTACCTGAGGACAAAGATCTTACTAATATTTGTTGGCTGACAATTTTCTACACCTGTCAAACTATTTGTATCATTACAGTAGGTGGGGAGACTGACAGGGAAGAAAAATGCCAGATAGACACATCACTTTGGGTAAGGTATTTCATCACAGTGAATTCAGAATTGATGTCAATCACATTGGTAGGTATGGTAGGCTATGTTTACAAGAGCTAAGTCTTCCTTTGTAAAAAATATGTAATTCATACTAAGTGGAGTACTGTACTAACAAAACTTAGTTGAAAACACAGTCCATATTGGAGCAACGAATCGCCTAAAACAATTACCCATATAGCCATACTCTGACTGGCTCAACATTTAACATGAGGTTCAGTATAGACAATCCAGAGAATACCTGAGTGTGGCTTGACGTGTGGAGCAGGTGAGCAGACTGGTGAGGGGCTTCCTCGCCTGTGGCAGCAGGGTGTCTGGGAGGATTAATGTGTGTGTGTGTGTGTGCACTATGTGCATGCACATGTGCAGCATACACATTCACAAGTGTGAATGTCTGTATGAATGTGTTTGCAGATTTTGTGTTCACATGTTCCTGTTAGTACACACACACACACACACATTGAAAGAAAAGAGATAGAGAGATGTAGATAAAAAAAGATCAGAGATTGAAAAAAAAAAAGGAAAGTTGTGTTGGATAGGAAGAGAGAAAAAACATCTTCTTTGTTCACACTATTTTCCTTCCAGTGGTTCAATTCTTTTGTATGAAAATCCTGTCATCTTCCCTGAGTTATCAGAGTATACAGTAGCTACATTTTTAGCAGCATCAATCCTGACTACTAGTTCTTGTTATCTTGTCTCATGTGTTACACAGCCCTTGTTCACAATTAATGATGTTCAAGTAATCTTATCACCGACATTGTGATTATATGTTAGCTTTTCTTTGTATTCAAATAGTAGTCAGTTACATGTGTTATATGGATTGCTAGTATATTTCTTTGCACAAATTTACTCAAACTTATTACATGTATCTCTATTTAATTATTCATATTATTGTTCTTTAATATGCATACCAGTACTGTAGTCTTTTTCACCAAGAAACATCACCTGCCTTATACAACAACTGGCATCAGCAAAAGAAGTCTGTAAAAGATACCTTGTGCAATTTAACTCCCACACATATGGCTTCCTTGAGGCATGGGTTTGAGGGTGACAGTACAGTAATACAAAACCAAACACAATCACCCACACACACAAAACCCCTGACCTGACTTATCCCTGTCCTCCTTCCCCAGCTGTCTAAGTTGAACCCCCTCACCCCATCCAACCCTCCCCTGAGTCACCCATGTCTCAGTAGAAGCCTTACAAGAACACTCCCTCATCCTTCTAATCCGTGTTTGTGTATATTACCCAATCTACTGTGCTGTTGTGTTAATACTCAAATTGTAACCATAAGTACATTGTTTATATTGTGAAGCAAATCATCTGTTCTCTATTTTTTTTGTTCTTTTCAGGCACCTCCTCTACCCTAACACTTCTTCCCGGTTTAGTGGTTTCCGTTTCATTTGATCCAGCCCTTACGTAAGTGGGAGCAGTTTAAAGATAACTAAGGTAAAGCTAATATTGGATTATATAATGCCTTAAATGTAACACATACCCCTTCTCCTCACCTCTCGTTCTTCATGTACCATAACTTGTTCTCTCTCTCGTTCACCTGTACACCATCATGTTTTTGTGGTTTTAAATAATTTTGTTCTTAAAAAAAAAAATCTTTAGGGATGTTTGTCTAGAGTAATAAAACAAGCCATATAAATCAAGTGGGTTTATTGAACACACGGCACTTGGGGGTCGAACAGAACATAAAAACCAATTATCATCCGGCTATATAGTATCAGAAAATACTTTGTTTTTGTTTTTAAATTAGTTAAAAGCTGCAATTTTTATCTATATTCACCCTTAAGTGACACTAAAGACTATACAAGTATACAGCTATGAAATGCACCAACAAATCCTTTACTTTTATATTCTATTTTTTATATTCCTATTAACTAGTGTTGACAAAGTGCACGAAAACCAAGACGTGTGCAACCTGCAAGCCACTTTGTATATACAGCTCGTCTGTTCAATTTTAAGTTCTCTTTGGCTATGGACTACAACTAAGAATCAATTTTTATAAACAAATGGATAAAAAACTAAAACGAAAACTTAAGTTGCTCTATGAACAAACGAAAATTTTCTACATTTGTATGTGCTTAGATGTATACTGTACTGCATATAAGAATAAATAGTTAAAACAAGATAACAAAAAAAATACATTTCACTCCAATCTTTAAAAAAAAAATAGTCGGAATTAAATTCTTATTCCTATGTCTGTGCCTTGTGACACAACTGTTTCTGTATCTTTTATTAACTGCATATTTCAGTCAACATCAACTTTCACTACAAAAAAGTTGCAAGGTAGACTAATTAACATACAAAAACTATGAAAGGTTTGTCACACACTGCTCAATATTACAAATAAGTTAGGCTTTACTGTACATATAAACTGAAGGTCAACACATGCACCACGAACACACACTACTCCATCCACCTATAAAATGCCTTGTTCATTTATATACACACCAAGCCACTCACTCCCTCACTTGGACACATAACTATTTAAACGTAAAACAATGGACAGAAGTTACTAACGATTCCAATATCTCCAAAGTGAGAGAGGAATATTACTAATGAACAGTTGTGCTTATTAAGATATATTACAAGGTGCATAAAATTCATTGTAGCAATACGGTAAATTTCAATGTTTTTGGTTCCTCATATTCAAAAATAAAACAAGTACTAAATGCATCAGTCCATAATTAAAGAACTTGACATGTTGTAATCACTTCAGTAAGGTAACACAAGATCACCGATACTCGCATGTACAGGTGCTCTTCAATTACGAATGAGTTACTTTACCGATGATTGTTCGTAAATCCAACTTTACTCTTGTAGATACTTGACATACTGTAAATAATAATAAATAATACCCAAATAATAAATACAGCATGTTACTTTAGTTTATAATAATTTTTCTATGTGGTTCAAACAGTCAATCAGACATAAGGACAGGTGTGTTCGTATCCCTGAATTTTCGTAAGTAGAGGAGCACCTGTGTTCTTGTCAAAGGGAAGATTTCAACTAAATTTCATCAAAATTGAATTCAAAAGAATGGACTTCAGCTTACAATGTTTGTCCACATACACATTGTTATCACTTCACATTAAGACAAAAGATTTGTTTTAATAGATGAATAAGACTTCACAGTAATGGACTTTGACATGCTGAAACTTACTTTTACTTTTTATGTTTAATCTGATATTTCATTTCACCAGTTTGTCAGGGTAATTACTGGGCCTCATGTACTGTACAAAAGGAACTAAACCAATAGGATGAGCCTCGTTTAACTTTAAGAATAATCTGTTTGACGATACAGTACATTTCTTATCTGAATTTAGAGTTATGAGTTTTACATCAAAATTTCATCTTTTCATTATAGTAATATAAAGATTGTTGACTGGTGGGTACCAAGGTGGGCGAGTAGAGTGGCGTGCAATAACTTTACTGAGAGTATTTACAAGTACGGTAGAGTACCCCCAAAATTATGAGGATGCCATGACAGACTACCTTGTTAACTTTTGATGATATTACACCACAAACTTAATTTAACTTATGGGAAAAACTTTGTTATGTTTGGCATTAGGCAAAATCAATTCTAATTCTTTTACATTTACATTTTTTAATAGTTTTCTTATCCTTTCCTTCATGCATTTATTAATAACTTGCTAAACAAATGTAAAAAACAAATAAAAATAAATAAATATATAAAATTAAGCTGACTAAAACAGGACATTTGGCTGTGTGGTGGTATAACACCTTTAAGACTCCCTGTGATCTATGGGCTTTGGTGCAGGACAACATGAGACTTTTTCACTAACTTCTAAATAGCACACTTAAGCATGAGATACCTGTATATTAATACTGTATTATTATAAACTCTTAATATTTTTGTTGAACTGTTTGTGTCTAAGGCAATAACACAACACTGCTGTCAGCCATGATGACCAATAGTACAGTATAGTATTTTGTTATTATTATCTGTTAACATGGCAAGCTAATACATGCTTGGATTGAACAGCCAGGTTTCAACCCAAATTAGTCCAATAAAGTGAAGTCTTTCTGAGATTAGAAAATAAGCTAGGTATGTGTATTAGTATTGTTGTAATCAGTAAACTATACAGAGTAAAGAATATGAATTACCAGTAACCTAAATTTGACAAAATTACATGAAAATAATTACTTTTGCATCAAGTTCAGCAAGCTCATACTGGCTGCATCAGTCTAATGCTGCCTCAGAAGTGGTATTGATCATTGGTTTATGGAGGAACAAGGTCAACATCAGGATATATACAGAGGGCGGGGTGTTCACTCCTGGGAATATCAACTACCAAAGTTTAAAATAACAAAAGGTGAGACAACCTCGAGGTGGTGGATTATGATCAAGGCTTTAACTAGTCAGTAACCCTCTGTATATTGCCTAATACTGTATGTTCAAAGCTAACAAATAAACAACAGCATAATACAAAGAAGATAAAAACAATAACACCATCTGACCCAGTCTAAACATCCTCACTATTACTTGTGGTGTCAGTTATTTTTTTTCTCCTTAATATTCTTCAACTACTGGTTATCAACACAAAGCATTTGTTCTCTGAGACCATCCAGACCTGAACTTCCATCTCACACTATGATTAACAGCCTAAAAAATGGAGAGCTCAAAAGTATGTCCTCACAACTCGTCCTCGAAGCGGTCCAGGTTATGAAGGTGGTCACCATAGTCTGTGGCCTCTGACCCTACGAACACGTCATGGTGGTCGAGGACCTCCAGGAAGGAGAGCAAGTCATCTCCATCATCATCAGCAGCACCAAATAGATGATCCACTTCATCCTCTGCTATGTCTCTGATAACAGCAAAAATTTCAGATTAAATTTTGTAAGACACATAAATGGCTGACTGACACATCCCAAATTTTAAAGTAAAGTGTGGTGGTGTTCTGGCATTGAAGTGTGGTATATTTTAACTTAATTATAGAGAACAAAACTTCTCTGTTTATAATTCATGGCCAGGAAACATAAAAGTAGCAGTAATGTGAAGTCCCTAAACCATGGTTTGAAATATTAATAATGTAGTGAAGCAAGTTTACAAAGCTTAACAACATCTATAACATTGTTATTAAACGTTGCCATAAACTACCAAGTTTTATACCAAGCATCTTTAGCCATGGATTACAGATTTTACATTACTGTTCTGGTTGTTATCCAACTCTTAATACCAATTATGACAAACAAATGTAAACCAGCCACACAAAAACCACCCATTCACAACATGAATGAAGGTCACAAAATGTGTGATCAAAAGCGAGGAATCTGAGGCATAGAGAGTTGCCATTAGGTAATCACATCTAACTAACTCACACAATGGTGTTAACCCTTAGGTCCCGGGTGATGTTCCAGAACGCGCGCCTTTTCCCGCCGCTGTTTAAATGCCAGAGCGGGTTATCAGGTTCCCTTGTGACTATTTGCCTGTCACGCCACACCTCGGGCACAGGGAAGCTTCCTGAACATGATTACAATACCTACTTTTGTTTGTTTCATTGTTTGTCCATTTTATCATGTATCAAAGTAATATTGATAAAAATAGTGTTGTAGTGTAGTATTACTGTACTGTAAAATGATGCTATAATTATGTTATGAATGTATTTATTTGTGGAATTATTTTTCCGATAATTATCAGGTACCAGCATGACTATTTTCCTCCCTCGGAACACAGAGGGGAGCGTGAGTAGGCCCAGGGCGGCCAGTAACTATTCGTCCATGGTCGTGGAGAGTAACCCCTCGACTTCTCCCCCCCCCGTATCTTCCAACCCAATCAAGCATCATTGCTGCAGGTTGGATGATAGCGAAATAAGGACAGAACTATTTGATTTGATTGCTGTAGTGGTCAATTCTGGTGAAAGTGGTGATAAAGGCAGTGATTATCAGCCTAGTGACCAAGAGGATAGCATCGAGTTAGACGATGTTGTCTCAACCAGTGTGGAAGAAGAGGACGCGGGCAGTGATTACCATTCTAAGAAAACATTCTAAAACACTGTGACACGTGTTTGTAAATAGTGTAAATAGTTGTATAAGTGTATTTGTAAGGAACAAAGTGACATATATGTGGAAAAGGTACACAGTCGTATGCATTCACTCGTCACTACCCATGAGCGCTGGCAGACAGCTAGCGTGGCGTCAGGGTGGCACCACCACCTCACCTCACCTCACCTATGCACGGTCGGAGGAAAGCATCTTGGTAAGTACCTTTTATTTGTTTATTTTCCATTGTGTTTCCTTTTTATCATGTTGTATCAAAGTAATATCACTAAAAGTAGTGTAGTATTACTAGATGATAATGCTATGATTATGTTATGAATGTAATTATTTGTGGAATTATTATTCCGTTAATTATTTATTATATGACTTACTTGCTCTCCCAAACACAACCAGACAGACTGAGTGTGTGTCGCTGAACAGACTTTATGAAAAGGAATGCAAATAAAATAAATTCAAAATGAATTATTTATGGGAAATAAGTATTTTTTTTCAGTAAAAATATGTATTTTTGGCCATCTCGGACACAAAGGAGATGGGAAAAGGACCCCTAATGCGTAGTGACCGCGAGCTGCTCCCTATGAGAAAACCCACCTTTCTCTTTATTTCACTCGTCACTGAGGGACAATATATAGTTTTTCTTACGTCTTTTTCACTTTTATCATTTATAAAAGTTAAAATTTATTTTCACCGTTTTACTCAGCGTGGGGGGTACGGTCAGTGCCACCCGGGGCGTAGGGGTTAAAATCCAGAATTTTCAGGGCATAAACTATTAGCCATGTACAGCAGTAAGTTGTCCTGCTTTCCACAATACAGAAGAAATAATTACATAACCTTAACATGATAACAACATGCAGACAAAAGTGTGACAGGGAAGACCTACAATACAAGCAAAGCATTAACATAAAGCCATCAAACAACATATTGTACACACTGTACAACGCATGGTGAAGCTTTTAAAAAATTTGTGATTGCTTAAAATACAGTATAGTACAGGCAGTACATAACTTAATAAAACATTTACTGCTGTTTAAAGTTAATTAATGTTCACCTTAACAGTAATTGTACTAGCTGACAGGAAACAGACATGCTGCTCAGGCTCTTAGGTATGGGATCTTTAAAGCAATATGTCAGTTGTGAGCAGGTATCTTAGAGGTCACTACAGTACAGTATTCCTTTATCAACCATTTATGTCGAAACTGGTGTCAGGGAGTCTCACATGCTTTCTAAAACATGTTATTTCTCATTAGTATATTGCTCAAATCTCAACTAAAATTTAGTTATTAGTGTCATGAAATTTTTACAGGTACTGTATAATAAATTATATAAATATAGTGCACTTTTCCTCAGCTGAGAAAAGATGCCCCGCCCCCTCCTCAAGAGTTACAGCTGATTGACTGTTGCAAATCTGTTCGACTTCATCTTGAAATAATGATGTATTTCTAAATGAGTTTATTCATAATCGTTGGGATGACCGTTTCTGACGAGAAAGATATTTAGCTAAATTATATAAAGAAACAAACATTCATTATTTCAAACAGAAGCACATAGGAAGTAGATCAGAATCACACTAATATATATGAAGTTGTTCACAGTTATATTTCCCGCCTCTGCTGACGGCTGTTCGCTCAAGCGGCCAAGTCTGTCACACTCATCCACCAATTTTCAGGAGCCGTGTAATATTTCAGTGTGATTCTGATTTTTTAAAATGTTAGTTTTTGCATAATGTAGTTTTACTGATACATAATTTGTCTTAGTATGCCTTATTATGGGTAAAACTAAGTACAGTATATATTAAATGCGTCCTCCGAAAGCGTGAATTTGTTACCAGAGTTTAACAGTTAATTCATGTATGAGATGCTGAAAAACTTCCTACATGATCAAGTTTGAAATAATGAATGTATGTATCTTTATATAATTTAGCTAAATATCTTTCTCGTCAGAAACGGTCATCCCAACGATTATGAATGAACTCATTTAGAAATACATCATTACTTCAAGAAGAAATCGAACAGATTTGCAACAGCCAATCAGCTGTAACTCTTGAGGGGGCGGGGCATCTTTTCTCAGCTGAGGAAAAACGCACTATAGTAAATGAAAAAATGCTAAACAATATCCTAACATTCATCTTTATTTACCCCTCTTACTCTGGAATGATGGGTGAATTAATGTGTATAAGAACTGGGGGAATTTATCTGAACATGAGACACCCGACAATGAACAAAATCCTACCAGATCTTATAATAAGTCATGCAAGCTTGAGGTGTTAAGCATCTGACCAAAAAGTACTAAAACTTAAAACATCTACACATGCTATAGCTACTACAATACAAGTACTGTACTGTACATAAAGACAAAATGTGGACAGCCTACTCATTTGTCGGGACAACCCAAGCCAGGATTTCATTACGGTCCAAGATGCCATCACCGTCCTTGTCATGTTCCTGGTCAAACTTGTCCTTCTCAGTCAGCAGCCACTCCCGGTCTTGCTCCTTCCCTGTCAACCACCACCAACATTACCAACTACACACACACACACATTTACACACACAAACAAATCCTTGCAATTATGAATATTAAACCAAGAGATACCAGATGCCATTTACAACTACTGTACAGTATAATACGTAATAAAAAAGAATCACCTTACACTTTGGTACTGTGAAGTCACATAAAAGCCAATACTTACCTGGTGCAGCTGATGATTAACAATATATTAATGAAAAGAAATCATTATATTATTTGGTAAAACAATTAAATTCAAGTATACTTATTCTATGTTTACAAGTTCAGATTGTTCAATAATCACCATCTGGAGAAATTTACATACATAAAATGATCTTCAACCAATAAGTTTATTTTGGAGAGTACAGTATTTGCAGCATTGAGTCCTCCTCCCCTTTCAGTCCACTTTTTTACTCACACATTTTCTTTTCTGTTTTCTTCTAAAAATTTCAACAAAAACTCTGGTGGACATCTTGGTGCCAAATAATCTGTTGCCGTTCCTACAGACATATCTGTCCATTCTGATGTATTTTCTGAATAAGGCTAAATATAAAATGGTCATAAGGTCCAAAACTTAGTATGACGAAGACTATACAGGGTATTACGAGGAATTGATAAGTATAAAAACTTTAGACAAAACTAAACAGTACCACCGCAAGTGTGAGTACTGTAGGTGCCACGTGTCAACAGCTACTAGTATGCTAGTGTTGTCTTGGAGAGGCTCCTCCTGAGCTAGCATACTAGTAACACACCTCGTGTATAGGCGCCCTTAGAGTTACAAAATTTTTGGCCAAGTTTCAGTTTGGACAAAATCTTACATATCAGTGGGAGAGAAGAATCTTTGAGCTTCAATAACATTTAGAGCATCGTCTCCATCATGGTCAAGCTTGTTAAACTTGAGCTTCTCATTTTCTCGGTCTAGCACCTTGAGTGAATTTCTCGACATGCCTGGAACACAGTGGAGGCTCATGCTTTTATGTGAATATCAGTAAACAGTGGTTAATGAACTTTACTGTACACAAATAATATCAGACAACAATGTAATAACCAAATAAGATCTCTCCCTGGTGTACTAAAGCTGAGTAGAGTTAAGCACAGTAGAGTATATGAACATTGAGAGCAAGGCATCAAGTGGATGATTATAGCAGTAGTGATAAGAAATAGATAACCGTAAGGTAGAAAGAAACTGTTTTCCTAGTTATGATCACCCAGAATATAGCAGGAGAGAGTCTGTAAGAGTGATAATAAAAGAGACAAATGAGTTTACTAATGTAGATGGATGTAAGAGCGGTGATGGATTTACATACAATAATGGGAATGCCTATGAGAAACTGATGAAGGGTTACCAAGTAAAAGTGTGTGTGTGTGTGTGTTGGGGTACAGTAGAACGTCGATATAACACGAGATACGTTCCAAGAGAGGTCGATTTAAACCGAATTTGCACTGATTCAAAGTGTTGTTTCAATGGAATAATTTAGTTTGGTACTTGAGAGAAACACAAAATACTAAAATGACAGAGTCTGCCCAATTCCTAGAACAAACAAAACATTGTTTTTGTAGAACTGTATTATGTTACAATAAACACTCATAAATCAACACAGCTAAAATTATGAGACGTGAAATGGTCTGTTTACTAGCGATCAGCTGATGGGAAGATGGGGGGTGAGGTGATATGTTTGACAGTTGATGCCAAGGTCTAGTGCTTATTTATCTATCTGTCCTTAAGAGTGACTAAGTTTTCTCTTATAAAATGTCACTGAACTGACATGTTCTAATTCATTTTATTACAAAGGGCTAAAATTTTTATCTCGTGCAAAATATATGACGTTTATATTCAAATTAATCGCTGTCTTGCAATGATTCCAGCAATGCAAATTATATTCTCCTAACTTTTGTCTGTGATATTATACAAGATAAAAACTTAAAGCCTAAAACCACCAAACCCTGGCTGGGAAGATGGGGGAGGGAGGAAGGGGAGGTGACACATTTGACAGCTGCGTCATTGAAGGTCTAGTGAAGTATTTATTTGTTTACCTGTATTTATGTCTTTTAGATTGAGTTTTTGTTTTTTGTTTCTAAAATGTCACAGACGTGACTGGGGAGAATATAATTTACATTGCTGGAATTCTTATAAGATAGTGATTAATTTGAATATAATCATCCTATAGGTTGCACTAGACAAAAATTTTAGTAATCATTTAGTACATTATTTTGAGTACATGTACAATACAGCTTTGTCCTTAGGACAGTGTAGCGTGCCCAGAGAAACATTAGGCGCGATTTTTAAAATATGACGCACCAGATTGACTAGCGCAAAATAGGAAAGATTCGCTTTAAATTAAAACATTGTCCTTAATAGTGGGTGTCGCTTTAAATCAATAATCTTAAATTGAATCACTTTAAATCGACATTCTACTGTACAATATGCGAATGGTAGGAAAAATGGTATCAAATTCCAACAGTAAGAGTGATTAGATGGTAATAAATAAGGAGAGAGAGTTAGTGTTTGTTCTTGACTGATCACCCTCAAATGCTGAAAAAGTATCTCCATAACATACACAGGTATTCATTATGTGATCCTATGTACTTATACGGGGCTGTAAAATGTACTGAAAATATCTGAACTTGAAGAACTGTAGTGTAATGAATGATACAAGGAAAAGTGTGATTCTGGCAGTGTCGTCAAGATTAAACACAAATGAAGTAGCTTTATGAATAAGACTGACAACAACAGTAGAAAACCATTTGTAAAAAAAAAAAGTGTTTAGTAAAGAAAGAAGGATAGTTTATCTAGAGAAAATAAAGTATTATCTTCACAAAGTAGTATTTCATGCAAGAATGATCCCATAACACCACCACCATCCTGAACCATAACCATTGCAAACAACTTATAGCCAAAACTGACACCAGTTATGGATAATCGTTCTTCCACCAGTACAGTCCCCAGCACCACTGTTGCTGACAAACAGGAGACCACTGACCACCACCATTACACTACACACTTCACTCTCAGAAGCATTTTTTCTTTAGCGCTCATTTGAATCACAATGCTGTATTTGTTCTCTAAAAATGACAAACAAACAAGGATGGATACAGCCTTTGTCTCCTCCATTATTACAGATAAAATTATGTACAAATTAACAAATGAGTGAGCATAATTATATAGAAAGGCAACTTTCTGAGAGTTCAGTTAAAGGCTTACTTGTTTGTGGATGACAATGGTCCCAATTCTTCCCTCTCTAAAACCCCAGAATTATTTACGTCCATCTCCTTAAATTTTGGTTTATGATCTCTCACAAATTCTCGGTCAGTTATCACATCTGTTGCAGCATCTTGCTCTGGAAATTAGCCCATCTTGTAGTGTTTGATTATCATGCATCAGACACAGTAAGGTGCCAACTCTGACCCTTAAAACTCATTTCTTTGCCACAATTCCTGATGCTTTTCTTATATAAAAATAGCTTGGTGAGTTTCACTGCGCTTGTCAATATAAGAATGTGCTTTCCCAAATCACCAGTTTCTTCCAGTTAAAAATTAATATAACTGACTGTTACCAAAGGATGAAGTCCTCAACAGAGGGTAAGGTGTATCAGTATCATGTGCCTGTCACCTTTCCTTCAATTCTAATATAAATATTAAAAGAATGCTGCTGCCTTAGTTTAATTTATTTACATTCACTGAATCCTCAAAACACTTGATACCACTGCATACTGTTATCCCTGGGTTCTATTAATGCTCCTGCTGTAGTGTAGTATAGGTTCAAGAGTGTATAGTACAGTACTGCCTGTGTGCAGTTTGTAGAAGCAGGCCTCTAGTCCTCACTCCTTAGTAGTGTGGCCCATAACTTATCAATCACCAAGAACTTGTGGTGTGAGCACAGTATAATATCATCAGCTAAGAAGAACTTCAAATGGGCCATATATTTAAGTCCTGGGTGTTAATTCTATAATGGCAACAGTCAGTCGTGAAATGTAAACAAACTCAAGCACATTTTCTGTAATTTCACGAGGACATCAAATCATGGAAGCATTTCACCCCTCCCCCCCACCCCGTGTGACCATGGTTAAGGCAGCCAATGAATGTTAGTCGGTAGTGTAAGGTAACCACAGTAAATCATCACCCGTACTGCTTGACAAAATATAAATATGGTAATTAGTACGTCCTCCCTGTAAAGCTTCTACCAGTACAGAAATGTGGAGAAGGTTTCCAAATACGATGCAAAGGCTCAGAAAACCAGCTGTAGGTGTCTGTAATAAGAGACAAAGTTAACTACATCTACAGTCCCTATGTTTTACCCAGCTTGGACCTGTGCCTACACAGAAAGCTTTAAGTCATAAATTACAGCCCATACTCTACAGCTTAACCATACCTTTGTCACCAATGTACTCTTGGAAGTCAATAACTCCGTCACTGTTTGTGTCCTTCTCATCGAGGGCTTGTTGCAAGACTACAGGAAGCATGTCTGGGTGCTCCTCAGGGTGAGTGAAGGCCAAGAATTCCTTGTCGTCGAGTCTTCCATCAATATTCTTATCTGCTGCGTTGAATAGCTGGCGGTCCTCACTTAGCAGCTGCAATAATACCCATGGAACAATAATGACAAGAAATATACACTGATCAAGGTACAAGAATCTGCATAAATGATACACTTGTTTACCATATATTACACCTATAGCCAACATAAATTACATGTAAGATTATTGAACCCAAGGACCAGCTGGGTAAGCGAGCGATACGAGCACTACCAGATAAGTTAGTGGCCATTCTCTTGATAATTCTTGACTCTGACCACTAAGTCTAACACACTTCCAATTCCCAGTCATTGGTTTTATTAAATGTAACTTGCTCATTCTTTCTCTTATTGTTTTTACTATTTACAGAACTATACCCCTTTTGTGCTTTCCTTTCTTTCTATTTTCTCACCTTTGTGTTTACATAGTCAGGATATCTTGGTCCTTTCAACACACTGCTCACATTACAAGCACGGACTGGGTTATGATCAACACCTGACACCTTTGGGAACATTCCACACATGGCTGCCACCCCCCCCCCCATCTCATTAGAATTGCCATGGGTAAGACATACTAATATATGGACAGGTTAAAGAGAGTACCTTACTAACCGCACACTTGTTGGCTGTTGAACATCTTCACCTCTAAATTTCTATGACACAAGGACTATACAACCTTAGCATTATTCACTTAAGTTCACAATTCATTCATGGTAAATTTGAATGTAACTCCATCCACATACATTATACAGATTTTTACAAATATTCAGGATACACCACAAAAATAATAATTCAACTATAGCCACTAATTTTATATCAATAATTCCTCCCAGTTTGTAGTGGGACGTTACCATCATTCAAACATTTCTTAAACCAGTACGTGAATATTACACAATGATTAAAAACTCTTCACTCCATCCAGCCCTAAGATGTGTGATATACTGAGGGAGGTTGTGCTGTACAGGTCGCCCCAAGGTTCGTGCATTGTAGGGAAAATTAATGTTCACTTTTTGTTACATTTTTCGGGGTGAGGGAATTATATCAAAGAGTTTAGTCGACAACACCAGACCATGTGTGTGTTGTTGATGGAATTCTACTGCAACAGATTCATGGTTTTCTGTATATGATTGTCTAAACAACTCGTTCTTCTAGAGTTGATATTTTTTATTTATTTTGATTCCCTCACACCCTGTTGAGTATGGTGTATGTTAATGACACACCCTGTTGAGTATGATGTAAGTTTATGACACACCCTGTACAGTATGGTGAGCATTTATGACACCCTGTACAGTATGGTGTATGTTTATCACACACCCTATACAGTGTTTGGTGATTAATGGCACGAAATCATCATCTGTACCCATCACAAGCGAGGTACCACAGGGCAGTGTATTGGGCCCGCTGCTGTTTGTTTGTTTCATAAATGACATGCCTGAAGCTGTACATTCCTCCATACAAATGTTTGCGGATGATGCCAAGTTATTTCGGGAAATCAAGAACCAAGCGGACTGTGAAGAGCTGTGAAGAGCAGTATGGCTGCTAAAATTCAAAGTCACGAAGTGTAAGAGGATGCACCGGGGGCATACCAACGGTAAGGAGGCATATCATATGTCCCAACGGGACGAAGATATTGCATTAATTGAGACAGAATGTGAAAAGAACCTAGGTGTGTACGTTGACAATGAACTGAAGTTCTCGGGCCATTGCAAGAAGAAGGTAAATCAGGAAACTAAGTTATTAGGTCTTATAAGAAGGCCATTCAGATATCTAGACGGTCCGTCCCTCATAACGCGCTTCCTTGAGATATGCCAGGGACTGTCAGTTGATTGAAAATGTCCAAAGGAGGGCCACCAGACTGGTGCCTGCACTGCGGCACCTCATCTACCTGGAGAGATTGGAGCGCCTGAACTTGCCAAGCTTATGCTACAGACAGGTAAGGGGAGATCTGATTGAGGTGTACAAGCATCTCATAGGGCACTACTCAGTCAAGTGCCCCTACTTGGAGCTCAAGGTTAATGAAGCCGCAAGTCCAGAAAACTATGAGGGGCATCTTTTTCGGAGTGAGAGTTGTGAACTCGTGAAACAATCTGCCAGAGAGTGTGGTGACGGCACCGAGTGTGAACTCTTTCAAGACAAGACTTGACCAACACTGGAGCAGGTTCAGGTACATTCAGGAGCCAGTACTTGCCAACAGTGTGTATCAGAGACGTGACCAATCCCCCAAGCGGCTAACGAGCCGATCAGTGGTGAAGAGGATAAAAGTAAAAAATAAAAGCGAGTATTTGACACCCTGTTGAGTATGGTGCAAGTTTGAGACATTGTTAGTATGGTACACATTTATTACATACCCTGTACAGTATGGTGCACATTTATGACACACCCTGTAGAGTATGGTGCATGACATGACACACCCTGTAGAGTATGGTGCATGACATATGACACCCTGTAGAGTAATACAAAGACCCACTGTAACTCACTCGCTGTTCCTCCGCTTGGTCCTCCTTCTCTAGCAGCTGCTGGTCGTCGGGCTCGGTGATGCCGTAGGTCTCGGAGATATACTCAGACCAGGTAACATAGCCATCCTCATCTTCATCCACCTCATCCATCCGCTCTGAACTCTCCTCTTCGGACAACATTCTGTGAAATATGTATACTGTACAGTCTAGTTATTAGGTGTGGAGTCATCAACAATTGAGGTGTTGCCTAAAGCAGGGGAAATGGGTGCCAAATGTGCAAATTTCAGATGAGGCTTTTCCCATATTCTATTTTCAATTCACCGCTGATTGGTATACTGTATGTACTTACACCCATAACTTACTTGAAGCCTCTGAGAGCTTGGCTTGAAAATAGTATCCCAGAGTCCTCACATGGCTACAACACCCCAAAAACAATAGGCATAAGTGAGTCGAAATGGGTACGCAATATACTGTATACATCACGTGCAGCTCTCGGCTAATCAAGCCAATCCTGCCCTGCACCCACACCGCCCATGCACTTCAGTTTCCTGGGCTCTCTGCATGCAGCAACACTCGAGGATTATTACCCTGTGTTTTTGTGGTCATTTTTAAACTATTAAATGACCAATAGTTCACCTACAACTGCCACTCCTTGTATTTTACCATCTGGTGTACAGAAGCACCGTAGGAACCCTGAGAACAGACTCCAAAATAAGGCCAAAACTACATAACCTTGGCCAGGCAGACGAGTATATCTTACACAAGTCACAAGCTTGTGGTGACTGCACATATGGGTCTCCCTTGTACTGTACTGTACTACCTCAAATGGTATGTTTTGAGAAAATCAGAGAAGCAAACATCAAAATGGTGTTCGATGGTTTTTGGAACCAGGCAACTACAATCTGCAGAATGCCTATCTCCACAAGGCAGAGCACTTACGCCCCTTCTACACCAGAGGTCACGTACGCCCAATCTTTAATTGCCGATATCTCCCGTAATGTCAGACTGGCACTTACACCTCTACTTTATGTGATGCCACAATTAGCAGTACATGTACTGTATAAACACTATCTACTTACTGAGATTCTTATTTACTTTTATTTATATAAGTCACCGCCTTATAATCTTTCTGTGCACTTGCATATAAAAATGAGAAAACATCCACATCTACAGTACTGTACAGGGAGTCTCCACAAGTTATGAACAGATTAGGTTCCTGGTCCCTGTTAGTACGTCAATTTGTTCCTAACGCAGAACAAAGATAATTTTCAATAAAATATTGTATCAGTAATATGTATCCCTTCCTGTAAAACCATAATAATTATAACCCATATAGTATAACAATTAATATGAACAATGCATAAAAATAGTGTACAGAATTTTTTTTAATTAGTCTATTCTCCCATAACTCATGTTTTCATAATGCAAATTGGTTATAACTTGACGAATGTACAGTAATAGGGAACACATCTTCTACCTTATACATGTGAATTGGGTATAACGGGACTGAGGAAACATAACTATGTCACTCAAGTAGGAATAAGCAGTTGTGCAGCTGCCTCATTGTAACATCACCCCTTAATTCCTACAATTTGCCCATAATGTGAAGTTCTTCAGGAATGCAACTACTGTACAGTACCATGTTAACTGACTGTACCTTGACCCTGAAGATTGAACACCCTAAAGCTACCTTGGAGGCAGGTGAACTTTAGGGTGGTTAACACATAAGTATGGCGGGTGTTCGTAACTCGGGGAACTCCTGCACTTAATATAATACACAACAACAGGGATGATGATGCAAGAGTTATGAAACTTATTATATCAACATAGGTCTATAACACAGTGTAGTATGAATGACAGACAAGGTGCCGGTAAAGAATACTTCAGGCCACCCCTCTTCTTACTCCTTCATACCATCCTTCCTTGTTCCTTTATATTGTATTTTAAGTAAACTCTCAAGATCTATCAACAATGGCAAAAGTGTGTGTGTCTGGTCAACGGCTTCAGTACCCACATCATGAGGGTTTCCACGGCGAGTAAATGCACAGAGAACAGAGACATGAGAAAAGAAACAAAACATGAGAAGATAGGATAAGGTACACAAGAAAATGTCTAAATGCTTCACCCCTAGTAACTGCTGTCAATGTCTTCTGATGATTTATTTTAATTGTGCTATAGTTGTCTTTAGAAGATTGGCATTTGGCGCCATGAATTTAAAGCTGTGCCCCAAAAATCAAACTGAGAATGGAAAGTCAGTGATTGGTGGAGCCTCAGATCAACTTGCTATCATCATCTTGGAATGATTTAAACCTCATCACCCTCCTCCTCCTGTCCTCAGTGGCCCATCACCCACTATTACAATGGCACAGATTACCTCACCACCTAGACAAGAAATTACCACCCACTTTGCACCACCACAACCATCGCTCAGCAGTTGTCAGTTACTCTCCGCCTCACTTCACAGACTTGGACCTCACCACCCGTAATGAATGCAAAGTTCTTATGGTTTCTAAATTTTATATCTTTGATTTCATGAGATTTTTTTTTCAACTTTCATGTCATGTTTTTTGCATTTGTGGGGTACCCTTGACTTCCCAAATGATGCAGTTAGTTGGTTAAAAAAATGGTGTAAAAATGTTTTAAGAAATAGGTGTGAAAATAAATTAAGAAAATGAAAATGTAAAATGTAATGTTTCTTAACATTGCCCAAAGTTTGAGCCGAACAAATTTAAGGATATCTGTACGAGCAGAACAAAGGTGAACTGCCACATGGATAAAAATTAAGAAATACAAAAATAATAATCCAGGCAGAACAACACGTACAGTAATACAAGAAAAAAGAAACAGTACCTGAATGACCGCAGAATCCATGAGTGTAATTCTGTGCGCTCGATCAGCTTGTCATTGTTGCGATCCATCTTCAGTAACAGGATTTCCAACCTCCTTTTGGATTCACTGACAGGCAGCTGGTCGTACTCCTCTGCATCTTTGGCACTCCCTGTCACACAAGAACCCATTATAACATGGGTAGATAGGGGATGCATTAAGTGGGTCCCAAAAATCCTCCCACCCCAAAAATACTCCAAAACCAAATTTCAAAGACATTGTACAGTCTTAAGTAGCTCAATAATACTTTTTTTATACAGTGTAAATAAAAAACAGCTCTGAAATTACTTAGAGAACTTTTAAGAGGAGCCACGGTGATGAAAGCAGGCAAAAAAACAAGTTATTTCATGTGAACTTTTTGAGTGTGACTGAACTGAGCTATAGCTAAACTCAAGAGCCCACGTGGTGTGGGGATGCTACCTGTGGACTATAATGGACTCAACTGCTGGCCCACTGGGGATGCTACCCATGGACTATAATGGTCCTTGACTGCTGGCCCGCTGTGGATGCTACCTGTGGACTGTAATGGACTCAACTGCTGGCCCGCTGTGGATGCTACCTGTGGACTATAATGGACTCAACTGCTGGCCCACTGGGGATGCTACCCATGGACTATAATGGTCCTTGACTGCTGGCCCGCTGTGGATGCTACCTGTGGACTAAAAATGGTCCTTGACTGCTGGCCAGCTGTGGATGCTACCTGTGGACTATAATGGACTCAACTGCTGGCCCACTGTGGATGCTACCTGTGTGGACTATAATGGACTCAACTGCTGGCCCTGTGGATGCTGCCTGTAGACTAAAATGGTCCTTGACTGCTGGCCAGCTGTGGATGCTACCTGTGGACTATAATGGACTCAACTGCTTTGGCCCACTGTGGATGCTACCTGTGAACTAAAATGGTCCTTGACTGCTGGCCAGCTGTGGATGCTACCTGTGGACTGTAATGGACTCAACTGCTGGCCCACTGTGGATGCTACCCATGGACTATAATGGACTCAACTGCTGGCCCACTGTGGATGCTACCCATGGACTATAATGGACTCAACTGCTGGCCCACTGTGGATGCTACCCATGGACTATAATGGCCCTTGACTGCTGGCCTATGCAAAACATTTTCCACCTGACCACCTTCAGCCAAATATTCCCATGTTAGCTCAGCTCAACCTTCATTCTAGCCACTCTTAGCCCTGTGTTAAGCAATACAAGGTAGTAATAAAAAACCACGTTCGAGCAACTCTGTGTTAAACTAACCTGGTGAGGGGGCAGTACAGTACTTCATCAAGGAGTCATTTTCTCCCTGTAATTGTACGATGTTGCCCACATACCTACACCTGAACTAGCTCACCTTTTTATCCCACCTTCTCAAGCCTTTTCCTATTTGATGCAAGGTGCTTAAAAACAAGACCAAATAAACACACACACACATTACCCTCCCCACCTCAGCTTATTAGCCCTATATTTATTAACATTATTGCATCCTTCCCTAAAATAACCTGATGCCCGGGTACTGCAACCTATTTAATTATCTGGTGAAATAGGCTGTGCCACTAATCTTCAAATGCTCCCAAGATTAAATTACCATACTCATATACAAGCCTTGAATACAATGAACACACAAGGTCTAACGATCATCAACTTAAAAATACTAACTGTGGGGGAGGAGTCACAGAGAATCATAATCAAACCTATAAATTACTGAACATGTTTGGATGGGTTAATGGGGTACCTTCAGTGCAACTCCCCATCACATAGTAGAATATATTAAAGGGCATGAGTATGTTTGTCTCACATATAACTAAATCATGGGGTACATTACCAAGAATAGCCTCATGATCGAAGTCCGTGTTGTGTTCGCCATCAACGTAGTGCCCGTGGTCGCGTGGACTCCTCGCCCCGTCGGCCTCCCTCTCTTTTTGTGCGTTGTGAAGGTGGTGTGTGTGTGCTGATGCTATCCCCCACACCAAGGCGCACACCAGCACCAACAGTCCCACTCTCCATGCATACATGATGCTTATTACTCTGTGAAGTGTAAAAAATACAATGTGATAAATGGCACTTAAAATATTGTGTTGAAGTATACAGTAATATATTATTATTTTTATATATCTATTTTATATATCTAGTGTGATTATATTGTATACCTGCATTGTCTATAGATCTTTGAGGCTCCATAAATACAGTAGACATGTGGTTAATAATCAAGAACTGTTGATTAAACTCATTAACTGAGTAGCTACAGCTGTGATTTGCTTCAACAGGAGGCAGTAACGAAATCCTCCATCCAATTTCCATACCCGAAAATGAATTCGTTCTGATGACGTTCTAACAATGCCGAGAAATTTAGGGAAATTAGGAACTAGAGGGACTGTGAAGAGCTACAGAAAGGTCTCTGTCAGCTTCAGGAGTGGTCAAAGGGATGGCTGTTAAGATTCAACAGCACAAAATGCAAGACGATGCACCTAGGTCATACTAACAGTAAGGAGGCATATTAATAAATGCCCTAATGGGACAAGAAACTGCATTAACGTAGACCAAATGTGAAAAGGACCTGGGTGTGTATGTTGACAACGAACTTAAGATTTTGGACCATCGTGAGAAGGTGAATAAAGCGACTCAGATAGCGCGTCTTAGAAGAAGGTCATTCAGATACCTAGACGGTCCGTCCCTCGTAACACTGGTCAAAAGTGAGGCTCTTCCCTGTATGGAGTACTGTCTGGTCCCCGAGATATGCTAGACTGTCAGTTGATTGAAAATGTCCAAAGGAGGCCACCAGACTGGTGCCTGCACTATGGCACCTCAGTTACCCAGAGATTAGAACACCTGCAACTGCCTCGCTTATACTATAGGCAGGCAAGAGGTGACTTGATAGAAGTCAATACTGTAAACACCTCAGAGGATATTACTCAGTCAAGTGTCCATATCTGGACCTGGCAGACCCCTGCCCCACTAGAGGTCACAGCTTAAGGTTGAAGAAGCCACTAGACTAGTCCAGAAAATTGTGGGGCAAACATTTTCGGAGTGAGAATTGTAAACTTTTGGAACAATCTGCCCGGGGAGTGTTGTGACGGCACCGAGTGTAAGCTCTTTCAAGACCAGACTTGACCAACACTGGAGCAGGTACAGATACATTCAGGAGGCAGTACATGCCCAGTACTTGCCAACAGAATTTCTTCTGCTAAGATAAAAATAAAGTCAGCAGCAGATGTAAGGCATGAACAGTACTGTACTTGAGCCTTGTGTTAAGTATCACCCTAACCTAACCTAATTAAAAAGTGACTTAAGATCAATGGGTTAGGTTAATTTGGTTTGTTGTATCTTTTATAAATGATTTAATACCATAGTGAGTGTAAACAACAGTAACACACATCTCGCCAAACTTTAACAGTATTTTAAGACATAAAGAGTTAATTGGACACCAGGAGAGGTTTGTTCACATCTCTTAAAGTCACCACTGTGTCATATGTTGGTGAGTAGAGAATCAACCAGTACTCTTATCAGTGAACTTATCCAACACGGTCCAACGAATTACCCAAAAGTACCCAAAAGTATATTAAATCAGGGTAAAATCTTAACGAATATATGTTTTACATCAATAAAACCCGATTAATAATGTTTTCATTGAAATGTAGTCAAAATAATGAAATAATAAACAGCGAAAAACACTAAATTCCAAAGAGTCACCTATCCAAAAATGGAGATATAATTACCGATGTTTCTGTTACTTTGGGGTAGGATTTACTTTTCGTTAGGTGAGGTTAGGTTAGGTTATGCTATGTTGGGCTAGGTTAGGTTAGGGTATGTTGGGCTAGGTTAGGTTAGGTTAGGGTATGTTGGGCTAGGTTAGGTTAGCGAAGTGCATCACGATGGATCTGAGTTATCTCCCTTGTTCACGAACTCTTTGGAATTTAGCGCTCGCCAATACTGAGAGTTTTTCGCTGTTTATTATTTCATCTCACAAATTATTTTTACAAAATTACACTAAAAATATTATTAAACATGTTTTGTGTATGTATAACAGATATTCATTAAGATTTTACCCTTATTTGCTGTACTTTTGGGTACTTTTGGGTAATTAGTGGCTCCCTATCCAACATGATCAGAACAACTTGTATGTTAAATCACTAACTGTCCATCACCTGGTTGTGATTAAAAACACCAAAACTAATAATACTTTAAAGTTACACAGTGATATGTATGGTAATGATACCTGACCAACTCGCCTTCACATTTTTCTTATATACCAAACTCAGCATTATGGTCACGACTCTAAAATAACAAATTACTAAACAATGATACAAATAGACAACCCTGAAGTGAACCATTTACCAATCACAGAAGAAAAAATACAGGACATAAGAGTTTGATAAAGGAGGAAATACCGAAGTTGTGTGTGTGAGGTGAGGTAGCTCCAGTTACTCACCTTCCTTAATGTACCTCACTCCTCAACTGAGATGTTAATTACCTATTGGCTCGTACACCTGTTGATAGTGACCTTTTCCACGTATTGGTCGTTGACGTGTGATAGCCACAGGTGTAGGGGTGAGTGAGAGGGTGTTGGAAGGGGGTGTAGCCAACACTGATTGAGCTGCTGCCTCTGATACACTACCATATAAACATACAACTTACTCTATTTTAAACAACAATTGTATATACTTATAAATAAATAATTATGGTTTAAGTTGTTTATTCTGTTTGTTAATTAATTTAATCCATTAAAAACTAGTAATTAATATATTGTATGTGTATCCCCCACCAACAGCTGTGTCAAGCATTAGGGAGCAAGGAGGTATATATGTACCCTGGGAAGCTCATGTAACTATGGTAGTGAATACTTATTTGTAATTATAGTTGATAATTATCATCATTTCTCATTTGTATAATCATTATAATTAATAAATATTATAACAAATGAGAAAAATATTAAAACTCCATTAATAATTACCTCTTCACACTGCAATCGTTAATATATTTCACATTGTTCGTATACTGATTTGTTTTCTCAACTAGAAGGCATTGATATGTTTACTAATATAAACTTCATTAAGATATTTAATGAATTGAATCAAGTATGTTTAACGCTAATGGTGGGTTCACTGGCCTCAGGTGTGTGCATAATTCTCTTGACATACTTGCTGTCAGGGATAACGTGTCAAATGCTAATTAGACACCCCAGCTTATTTCACCTGATGATTAGACACCCCAGCTTATTTTTCCTGATGATTACACACTCAGCTTATTTCACCTGATGATTAGACACCCCAGCTTATTTCACCTGAAGATTGGACACCTCAACACACACACACACTGATTCGAAATGAAATTGATATAAATTTACTTAATATAGTCGTCTTTTATATGCAAACAATTATATAAAACAAAATATAAATAAGAATAAACCGATATTACTTTATAAAATGTTAATTGTAATTTAGAGACACATTTACGGTACAGTACGGACAGTTAAAGGCACCACACTATGGTACGTCTCTTAGATAAATTATTTCTTTACTACTATATAAATTGACTAATAAATTATCTCAGTATATGTCGTATTTGTGTATGCTATTGGAGTTTAAATAATATAATTTTACATATCTTTAAAGAAATGGTCAGCACCCAGATGAACTAACAGTATGTACTATTTGCGGGATTAGACCATACAAGGAGATTTGCAGCCAACCTAATGGTATGTATGTATGTATGTATGTATGTATGTATGTATGTATGTATGTATGTTGAGCTGTATGAAGCGACAGGGGTAAACCAACGGCACATCGAGAGTTTGTTGTGTAAGAGGAAACTCATTTATCACGGGAGGGAGAGTGACTGAATGACAGGATTTGGAAGTTGCCGTATATATTTCACCCTTACTTCCAGCCACCGTGCACCTTGATGGGTCACTACGCTTTATTAACTAAGGTCTTTAAGAATGTGATAATGTATTACTACCTTCTGTGTTGCCATGCTCTTACAATCTGTCTCACTTCAGAAAGCTGGTTTTCCGGCATCTTCGGGGAGTAGATTAACATAATCTTTTTCTTTCCGATTTTTAATTTATTTTTACTCTTATCTTTTCGCCCCCCAGGCCCCGTGTGGGTGGATAACCTGTGCCCGGGTGAGCTATTACCTGTGAAAGAAAAAGAAAAAAGAAAAACAACAACAAGGGCGGATCCAGGGAGGTCCTGGGGGTCCGGACCCCCCTTTTCATCAGAAAATTGCAATACCTTTTCTTCAATGTAGTATTGCACAGGCATTTTTTGTATAGTAAAAAGTAATTGCTATTGATCTCAGAATATCGCCTAACATCAAGAGCACATGGCTTCAAAATGACCCCACAGTGCCCATGATATTGGTTAGATTTAAATAAATGTTCTAGGGGGGGCGGGGGGCTACAGAGCCCCCTCCCCACACCCCCTAAAAAAACATCCCACCTCTGCTCGCCATGTTCCCCCACCCCCCTATTTTGATACTCTTGGATCCGCCCCTAATAATTAAGGTTTTTCAGCGCGTATTGCAGATTATTAATACACTAGTCAACAATATATGACAATAAAATTATATCTTTCATAAAAAATGAAAGAAAAAACTTATAAGAATGTGAAAAATGTAAATATGGAATAAATCCAACAAACTGTTGCACTAATAATGTAGTGAAGTCGGAAACAGGTTGACTTAAGACCTAACAACTTTCTGAGGTGAAAATAGGGTATAAATCTTTCCTGAAAATCTGAACACTAATTTTGTCTCGTGTTACATGAACTACAGCGTCAGTATAATATTAATGATATTTTAATGTTACTTTTTTGCTAAGTTAGACAGTTAGGTATAGTTTTACATCTAAAGTTACGAGAACAAGGTCATGGAATGCGTGCGTTGCGTTCACTGTATCTCTAAGCTAATTTCAACCAACAATACAATAATATTTCTCTATCAAGCCATCACAAAATATATTTACTAGGGTATTAATTCCCTGACAGTATGTTGTAGCCGACTTTTGTGTCTTGTAGTGCTTATCAATAATACTGAATATATCCTCTGTCAGTTGCCAGTTAACTTTCCGCTTAGAAGGTGGTTCATTCCTCTCTTCCTTACTAATGGCAGGTACTGGGCACGAATAGGCTCTTGAGTGTACTTGAACTTAACGCGATGGATAATAAACAGTTTGTCATTTACTATATAATTATAAAATAGACAAACCAGTTAAATGGGCTGTTACTGTACAATTAACTGGAGGTACTTGAAGCCAACTGGCTCGCCCAAAATAAGGGAATAAACTCGCAACACTTTTGTCAAGGATGCAATTACTGAGGAACCATTATAATACCTCCTTGCATCATGGGTAACTCACCAGCAACAAAAATGGAATTAAACACGATACCAGATTCCGTCCCCCGAAAACAAGGTAGATGTACAATACTAAAATACAGTGGTCAGGAGTCAGTGTAGGGACTTTCACTCAACTGACACTTTTGACACAGTGAATAATGATTACGTTAAGTGAAAAATTGCAAGCTAATGGATCAAGATTTGTTGATTGGTTATCGTCTTTCATCAAGAGGAAATAGATTGTTAATACTCATAATACCTGGTGAACACCCTTGTTGATAGCAGTGGAATCTCGCCAGGCAGTATATTGGGGCCTCTATTTGGTCGTGTTATTAAATGAATTATCCATTAATTTTATACGTAAACTTTTGTTGTACGCTATACTGATGACTGGTGACAGCGCCCCCTGGTGTAAGGTAAAGATCACAGTAAGTATTGGTTGAAAGCACCAGATTATTTTCTAAATATTGGATAAAGTAAAGCAATATTATATATATTAAAAGATTAAAAATATAGGAGTAAATGATTTAATATAACTAACCTACAAGGTATCTCAACCGTAACTTGCGTCAAATATATCAGGTTACTCTCGACTCTTCTGGGTAGAATGAATTGCTAATTTTACAATAAAAAACGCACCAATACTCATCACCTCTTATACAATGTCACGTTCTATTACTTCTGTTCATCACGGTACGGTACTCTGCCTGAACACAGTCTTAAAGTAAAACTACAAAATTATAAAAACAAGATGACGTGTTTGATATCGGATGGATGGAAGGGATCATTTTACTTTAACTTCGCCACTGATCGGCGTCTCTGTTACGCATTTTTACTTTTACTTACTTTTATCCTCTTCACCACTGATCGCCTCGTTAGCCTCTTGGGCGATCGGTCACGTCTCTGTTACGCACTGTTGGCAAGTGCTGTACTGGGCATGCACCGGCTCCTGAATGTACCTGAACCTGCTCCAGTGTTGGTCAAGTCTGGTCTTGAAAGAGCTCACACTCGGTGCCGTCACAACACTTTCTGGTAGATTGTTCCAGAGTTCAAACTCCTCCAGAAAAAGTTTGCCTCGGACGCTGGTGAGGTTGTGAACTAATCTACCAAGCTGTACACCAGTGTAGCTCTTCAAGCAAACGACAACACTAGGCTGAAATTCAGCGACCAGAACTGCCAACAGTACTAAGACATGATCAATCGCCAACGACTAACGATCAGTGGTGAATAAAAAGTAAAAGTAATGATCTTTAGTGTAGTTAGTGGTAGTGACCCTCTCCCTCCCTCAGCCATCAGTGTACAGTAGATAGTGGTGGCTGATGATGACCCTCTCTCCCTCAGCCATCAGTGTACAGTAGATAGTGGTGGCTGGTGGTGACCCTCTCCCTCCCTCAGCCATCAGTGTACAGTAGTTAGTGGTGGCTGGTGGGTGACCCCTCCCCCCAGCCATCAGTGTACAGTAGATAGTAGTGGCTGGTGGTGACCCCTCCCTCCCCCAGCCATCAGTAGATAGTAGTGGCTGGTGGTGCCCCTCCCTCCCCCAGCCATCAGCGTACAGTAGTTAGTGGTGGCTGGTGGTGACCTCCCTCCCCAGCCATCAGTGTACAGTAGATAGTAGTGGTGGTGATGACCTCCTCCCCCCAGCCATCAGTGTACAGATAGTAGTGGCTGGTGGTGACCCTCTCCTCCCCAGCCATCAGTGTACAGTAGATAGTGGCTGGTGGTGACCCTCCTCCCCAGCCATCAGTGTACAGTAGATAGTAGTGGCTGGTGGTGACCCTCTCCCTCCCCAGCCATCAGTGTACAGTAGATAGTGGTGGCTGGTGGTGACCTCTCCCTCCCAGCCATCAGTGTACAGTAGATAGTGGTGGCTGGTGGTGACCTTCTCCCTCAGCCATCAGTGTACAGTAGATAGTAGTGGCTGGTGGTGACCCCTCTCCTCCCTCAGCCATCAGTGTACAGTAGATAGTGGTGGCTGGTGGTGACTCCTCCCCCAGCCATCAGTGTACAGTTAGTAGTGGCTGGTGGTGAGCCATCAGTGTAGTGGTGGCCTGGTGGTGACCCTCCCCCAGCCATCAGTGTAGTTAGTGGTGGCTGGTGGTGATCAGTAGTAGATAGTAGTGGTGGTGACCTCCCTCCCCAGCCATCAGTGTACAGTAGATAGTGGGTGGCCATCAGTGGTGGTGGCTGGTCCCTCCTCCCTCAGCCATCAGTGTACAGTAGATAGTAGTGGCTGGTGACCCTCTCCCCCCCAGCCATCAGTGTACAGTTGGTGGTGGCTGGTGGTGACC